CGATTCCCAGCCCAGGTGGGACACCTTCATCTTCAGTTCGTCCGTCTATCGATCTCGCCAGGAACAATGCATCCTCTCCCTCTCCCTCATTACAGCAGACTGCCACTCTTGCAGCCCCTCCGTCAAGCACACAAAGACGCAATCGTGCAGCCCTCCGGGACTACTACAATCTCAAATCCAAAGCAGCTTCTCAAGAGCGTCGAGATGTAAGCCGCAGTGCAAGTATAACCTCCGCGACCTCCGACTCCACGATAGCTACCACCTCCACTGCCATTCCGGAGACAACCTCATCCCTCACAGCACACTTGGATGACCCGTCCTTCGATGCCGAGACATTCGTCTCCGACCTCTTAAAAACTGCCAGTCTGCGTGATATCCTGAAAACTGAGAGTGCGCTGGTCAGTGAAATCAGGACGCTCGATGGCGAGCGCAAGGCACTAGTTTACGATAATTACAGCAAGCTGATCAAGGCAGTCGGGACGATTGCGGAGATGCAGAAAGGGATGCACAAGGACAAAGAACATGACATGAGGGCAAATGTGCTGGCCAGACAGAAGGGTGAGCAAAGCTCGGGCCTTGACGATGTGGCATTGCTGGGCGAGAAGTTAGATGTGTTGTTGAAAGTTGTAAAAGATATTAGTCCAAGTGTACCGGACGGAGAAAGGACGACACAAATTACCGAGGCCAGGCGGAAGAGAACACAAAGGGATATCGTTAGGTGGGCTTTAGATGGCCCCACACGGTTGCAACAAATGATTGACCGGGAAGAAAGTGAAGAGGCTGAACGAGAATATGTCGCTATCACCGACGTGTTGGACACCTGGAACGGCGTCGGTGGTGTCGAGGAGCTGCGAGCGAAATGTGCGAAGGTCATGCAGACCGCAAAGGAGGGAACGAGTCCGAGTGAGCAAGGAGACTCAGGCGACTCAGGGTGAACGAGCTCCGTGACTATCATTCCCAGTCCATTTGGCGATATCGTCTCTTCCCAAAGCACCTGCTGCTCGGTACCGAACCTCCGAAACCCCGAGAAAACCTCATCCTCGGACTGGGCACACTGTGTCTATCATTACCACCACACTGGACACGGGATCACCCTCACTTATTCCCGAGACCGAATATAAGAATGACTGGTCATTCACCGACAACAACGCAAGTTGCTACCTAGAGACGACGGGCCTGGATATAGAAATCCAAGCAGAGCCAGAGGACGAGCACGGTCAACAAAATGGCAGCCTACAGCAAAGAAAGGTCCATTGATATCGACACTGCCTCCGCGAACATCGACTTCCGTCTTGATGAAGTATTTCGAGGGAACTTCTGTCAAGTCCACACGCATGACTATCGATTGGACCGAAGCGCGCAAGTGCACTGTCCCTTCATCCTACTAGCTGGGTGAAAGGATACCGAGTTCCAGCCCAGCGACACGCAGGAAACCCGACCTCGAGGTGGAACATGGTTCAACAAAGCCAGCGACCGCAGTGGATACCACGGAATCTGTGCATTTGCAGAATTCTGTATTTGTCGCTCTCTCAGGAAGCTGTGTATCTATATACGCTATCTACTGCGTCTGCTGTCGAGGATCACAAGCTCGCACGCAGCGTATGTGCATACAAAGGGCAAATAGACCGGGAACCAGAGAGACAGACAGGCAGACAGGCATACTCATGTATAATACTTAAAAAGGGATATTCGACTACGTTATGGGTTCGAAGTCAGCTAGACAAAACAGGAATGATGATCCACCAACTAAATCAAAGACGAATCTCTCCCATCTACCCGCTATCCGAATTCCGCACCTTGTGCATGGGAAAAGGGGGGTATCAACCGACAGAGATCACGATTCGAGGCCTGGGAAGAAGAAAAAACGTAGAAAGAGAATCTTCCATCACAAAGAGCCCACCATGTCGACCTTGTCCAACTCGGTAACATAGACCATTGCACCCCGGAAATTGCTCGCATACTGCAAAACTCCTCATCAGACTCTCGGCCATGCCGCTCCCAGTTCCCAGTGCTTTAATAAGGACTGTTCACAATCTCATCCCGCAAATGACTCTGCCTCCCACTTCTCCGCGGTGTCATCCCTGCCCCAGATATTCTCGCTGCCGGGCCCATGATGCTTTCCCTGGTAGGTCTCTTGAAGCTCTTGCGACTCACCATATCTACTTCATTAGGTAGTGCCAAGATAACATTCTTATCACTACCAAACTCGAAATTGTCGGCCATAACTTCCGCAGCATAGCGCTTGATCTGGTAAGGGTCTCGCTTCCCCTCGAGGACTTTCTTAAGGGTCCAGGTGACTAGGAATGGACCAGTGGAGGTAATGATGCTGGTTTCCTGGCTGTCGAGCCCGGTGTTGAAGTGGGCCCGCGTGAATGAGATCGGTTGGCCTGTTTCATGCTGGAATTGTGCAGCATGATTGGGGTTCAGGCAGAGGCGGCGGGGCTGAGGTTTCGAGTCCTTTGCGAAGGGTTTCTCGAAACCTAGTTTGCCTTCGTTTTTGCCGTCCTTCTGTAGGTTGTCTATCAAAATGAGGTAGGTTTTGCAGGTCCCAAGGATCCAGCGACCATCGGCACTGACGTCGAGGCCGATAATTGCTTCGCCTAGAGCTGGAATCTGTGTTTTGGCATTGATTCCGAGACGGTCGTACAGTCGGACATCACCCTTGTTGGACGCCAGCGCAATATAACCCTTTTCAGTCGTGGCGGCTGCAGAAAAGTCGTTTTTAGAAAGGTATTGCTTGAGCTGTGCTTCGACCAATTTGTTGCCAGAGACACGGGGATCGATACGGAAGAGGGCATTCTTGCTGTGACCAATGAACGATTGTGCAGCCGTCCGTTGAGAGAATTTCGTTTCTGGGGCAAAATTGCTTACGGCAATGTCGTCGTGAATTTTCCATTCATCCACAACCTTGCCATACTCGAGATCCATGCGATAGAGTGAGTGGGGGTTGTTGGGGTCTTGTAGCACCATGTTCTGATCCTCCTGGTGCAGCATGACCTTGGTCGGAGAGAAAAGTTTGCCCTTGGGAGTCTCAACCTTGGATATGTTTGTAGTGAATTCCAGATGCTTGTTGGGCAGATGCTTGAAGACACCAATCTTAGAGCCGCGAATGACAAAGGATCGATCGTTTTTAGTGCCAACAGCGAGCTGGGAGTTGACATTTCCGTCTTTGTCGTCCAGATCAACATCATCCTCCGACTCATCTTCGTCATAGTGCTCGCTTCGCGGGGCGTCTCCTTCTTCCTCTTCGTCCTCTTCTTCTTCGTCGACTTCCTCCTCCCCTTCATTCGCATCATTCATAGTCAAATCATTGAAAGCTTCCAGTACGTATTCGCGTTCCTGGTCCTTCACTTTGGACCACTTTGTCTCATTCAGTTGCTCCCACAAAGCCTGCATGACACCCTCTTGGAAATTTTCCAGAACGGCCTGATCCTTGAACCGTAGCAACCAAGAATAGGCAGACCCATCATCGGTGTAGTGGTTGAAAATTGCAGACAGATAGTCGAAGTTGAAGACTGGATTGATATCAGGGACGATGGCTTGGCCTAACCATTCCCGACCGGTAGAGCTGGTTATTTGAAGCCAGTATTGCCAGCCCCCAAGATCTGTCACAACAGCCACCACGGATGGATCTTGAAGGACAAAAGTCCCTGTTGGGAAGTCAAAGAGGTGAAGCTCTCCGATCTGCTTGGTAAGGACTTCTCCTGATCGTGGAGCGGATTTTGCAGGGGGTGCCTGCGTAGGGCCAGCATCTCTTGTCTTGGTTTGGTTTGATTTGGTCGGCGTTCTGACGTCCTTCGCCATGTTCTGCGCTGCTTCTTTGGATGTTGGTTTGGGGTCGAGCGCAGGTATTGAGCTCGCGGCTGGTATAGCGTCGTCTGAGTCAAAGTAGAACCCTTGCAGTTCAGCGTCTGTAGCCTTCTGAGCAGATCTTCGGTATTTCCTCTCGAATTGGCAATCGATTGCGGCTAGCAGAAAAGTCTGGATCTTTTCTTCTTGGACTGAAGAGTCACAAACAAATTCGTAGAGGTCTCCGGGGTCGCCGCTCAGGTCGCGCCAGGCTAAGACTGTTTCGCCAGCTGACCGCTTTTCCGACCTGAAATGGAGACTCTGGTCCAGGAGAAAAGTCTTCTCGTCCTTGTCTAAACCTTCAGCGCCCGCCTCGTCGTCGTCCTCAGCAAGTTCTTCTTCCCCCTCCTCGTACGCTCGCTGGACAACAAGCTGGTATTGATATTCTTGTCCCGTGCGCCTGATGGTGGCAACAGCGTCTTTGTAGATGAGTTCAGAGTAGCCTTTTGGGGAAAGAGGGCGGACGAGGTAGAGTTGGCCTTGGGGGATTTCCGTAATAACCTCTTTGGAGCTGTCTCCAAAGAGATACTTGCTAACTGCAGAAGTATGTTTGTTAGCTTCTAGATGTGCAAGTTGTAGACAACAGGCAGGGAGTTAACTTACCGTTTTTAATCATAAACATGATGGCGGGGTTTGCCTCAAAGCTGCGACGAGCCGAATGGGACTTTAACCCCTGCGCGACCGGGCTAGAAGGAATGTGAGGGTGGACCGCGGTGAGATCTGGTTATTGCAGGGTTCAAGAGGACAGACAACTGGGTTTCGAGGTATTCAGTCCATCGCCGTTATTGCAGGACACAAAGGTTGGAAGATAAACAATTCGCAGGCCCAGGCAAAGTTTAGGGTGAGGTGAAGGCGAGGTGTGCCCCATGACGCAACAGTCCTAGGGACTTGCTAGGCAACTGCGGACCCCCATCAAGGCACAGGCCAAAGTTTCGGGACCAAGCGACTAAACAAGCACTACTTAAAACTCAGCCTGATGGTGGGAGAGGCGAGGCTGAAACGGACCCTTCAATGTCACGTCACGCCAGGCCACTCTACCTGTGATCTTTCTCCCTACTTTGTTTCTTTCGAAAAGTCAACAAGCCGCGTCGTGCACCCACCACTTTCACACTCAGTCTTTCAGATTCCCTACCTGGGCTATTAGCTTGCTCATGGCATCAAAGGAAACTTCAAACCCAGAAAGACGAGATTCCTCCTCTCAACGCAGTAATGCACGGCCGACTCTGGCCGACAATCCTCACCATCCCAATTCAGCCGCATATCTAGCATATCCAGTCAAACACGTTGTCTCCAGCCTCTATCGCCGTATGACCGAACCTCCCGAAAACCCTGTCAATAGACTCCTCGATGCGCCCACCATCTCGACCTCCTCCTCAGGCGTGTATACTCCTCCAAGACGAACAGCGTCTCCCTTCCAACCCCCGCCCCTCACCCCCCTCGAACTGCGGCATCCATTATCCCAGAAAGCCGCGGGCTCGTTGCTCTTGACCCGCTCACTCGCCGAAGAAATTCGACTTTTACTCCCTCCAAGACTTCAACTCATTGATCACTGGACGTTGGCATATTCACTTGAGGCTCATGGATCCTCGTTGGCGACCTTGTACGAACACTGCGCCCACGTATCGACCTACACTCAGCGCTCAGGATATGTCCTAGTAGTAAGAGACGGATCGGCATCAGCAACAAATGGATCTGTCTTTGGTGCGTATCTCTCGGACGTACCCAAACCATCTCTTCATTACTTTGGTACCGGCGAATGTTTCCTCTGGCGAGCAAGCATATTGCCCGCGTTGCGCGACCTGTCTACAAACCTGCACCCTGGTTCGGAGCCCGCCTCCCAAGATTTGCTAGAGTTGGCTGGACTGCCACCGCCCCCCAGTGCCGATACCACCAACCTGCAGCGATTCACTACGATTCGAGGGGAGCGTCGGACACCCTCGACGTCGACCACCTCATTACCACAACCTTCCAACACCAAGGAACCATCCTCACACCTACAATCAGCTCCTGATCGTTCAGGTGCGTCAACACCCGACCGAATCAGGTTTAAAGCATTTCCTTACAGTGGCGTGAACGATTTCCTGATGTATTGTGAATCGGGATATTTCTCCATCGGTGGTGGGGATGGGCACTATGGCCTGTGGTTGGACGACGACTTGAATAGTGGCATCAGCGAATCATGTCCTACGTTTGGTAACGAACCACTAAGCGAAGAAGGCCGACGATTTGAAGTCCTCGGCGTAGAGGTGTGGTACGTTGGTGCATGACACCTGGTCTTTCGGTGGCGAATCAGACCGGTGCTCAGCTTTACTCCGCTGGTTACTTGAGCTTAGAGATCGGCTCCAACGAAGGCAGAGCCATTCCAGGTTGATACCTTCAGGTGTCGAACAGATATCTGATCCCAGGTCAACCTATAGTGGATCATTGAGAAGTGATCAGCGTCGCTGTTTGTTGAGCATACAGTGGTACACCGCGACACCCAACGGGACTTCCGTTTGCGGCAAAGATACTGCTGGATGACGAATCTGGGGCACATTATCGGTATGTGGCTGGAGCGACCCATGCTGAGTGAGCTGTCTGAACCTGCGTATTGATCTCGAAGCATGACTTGCATGATCTCTTCTGGGTAGGGTCTACAAGAAGTTAGCCGTGTGGAGCGCCGACAGCAGTCACCATATGTGATTACTTCAGCCGACCATATCAACGGAGTTGCTCGTTGGCTTTACCACGGCCGCGGCTGCTTTCAAGACTCCAGTCGAGCGAGGCCATGGCTTGTTGGCGCCACGAAACGCCTATCCCCAAATTTTTGATATCCCACACTCGTATTCTATCTGTGGAGTACAGGGTTTGGATTAGGTCAGTGGTTACCTTGCTTTGGTAATGCTACGACGACATGCATCCCATGTCTACCTTACTGAGAACAAGTCTTGAAAAGGAGAACGTGGTGTGCGTCTTTCGAGGCATGGGGCCTCTAGATCTTTGGTTTTTCCAACTCATTCGAGATGCACCGTCGGCTAAGCCCTTCACTGACCCAGTTTGCCTACGGTGGACACATGTGTGATTCAAGGACAAGGGCGCAGACCCCACCTTTCATTTACAACAGCTTCTCCAATGTTTCTTGTCCCTGAGTGCAAAACGTCCCTGACATTTCAAACGTGGATATCGACTGTCTGTCGCTACGTGCATCGGGCGCCACCGCAGGGACAGTTGTTGGTGGCATGTGGTGCCTCGTGTGTGTTCGTACTAGATATGGTCCGACATGGGAACTACTAGTTGAATGGTGTACGTACACTCCTGTGTACAGGAGGTGCCTGATACGTGTGTACGGTAGATATGCAGCCTGCACATGTTCGGGGAAGCCACAACGACGTCATAGCTCAGGTGTTGAGGTGCTAGGGCTGAAAGTACAGAGAGTAGCCGATGTGTGCGGGCCCGAATGAAAGCCTACTTGTGTTGTACCTCGTACGATGGTACTATGGCAACGCTACAAAGCAGTGGGAGCAGATGGCTAAACCAATAGCGGCCCGCCTTACACCTGCCCCATGAGGAAAGCCGGGCGATAACGGTGAAGCGACAGCTTGAATCCCCAAGGGAAATCAATTCCTGCGGAAGAATGGAGATGGTGGCAGGTAGGCCAGCAACTGTTCAAAGGACTGCGGGCCTACATTATAGCTGTGGGCCAGCCCATGACGCAGGTGGTACGAGACACCTGTAACACTACTCAAAAGAGAAGCATAGTCAGCAAAAAAAATGCACGGACTGGGACCACTGGTGTGTGCAGCAAGAAACGGGGGTGGCAGAATATACCCCGGTCCCAAATCCACGTGGTAGTGGTAGTGGTTTGTGTTTGAGACTTCGCCATGATGGGACGGACGGGTAGCTATCTACAGTTGGGTTTGCGGGGGAGGCAAACGAGACAAAGACGCCTTGTGGTTGAAGGTGAGCATAAACGACGGTGGCTTGACTAATGATACTGAATGTGTGCATATGTCCCAAAAAGGGGCATGGCGGCCGATTGGGCCTTTGGGCTTTTTTCTTTGCGCCGCGTATTAACCAAGAGAGGCCAACAGATGAAATCGATCATTTGACAGTCGACGGTACTAAACCAGGCGAAACAAGAGAAAGAATATCTTAAAACGGGTAGTGGTGCGACCGATGATTTGAACAAGCGGCGCTGGGGTTAGTCATGATCATTCAAGCAACCAGACACCAAACGACCAGCAGAGCAAACAGGGAAAAACAGGGGAAGCCGCTGCAAACATGGTCAGCAAAGATTATCCGAGGCGCAAACGGAGTCGGACCAAAGAATTGATCCAACATTCCTCCGGGTCGGGATCCCTCCGCAGGGACACGAATGAGAGCGGCCGCTTCTTGTTTGTTCATCCTGGCTAAAGCTGGAACATGATTATCCTGGACAATGGACAAGCGGGAAACTCAACAAGGGCTCTTAACCTTTTGACCAGCGGGTAACCTTGAAAGCCCGAAGAGCCTGGGTAGAGATAAGGTATTGGGATAGCAAAAGAGCGAGTGCTTGGTAAAGAATGAAGGGAGATTTCGATAATTCCGCCGTGGCTGGTGGGTGCCTTAGAAAGCAAAGTTTCAGAAAGGAAAAAAGAAATCAAAAGACGACATTATTTCATTGCGGAATTCGAATTATCTTACCGGGAAAATTCAAGCCATACGACCATTACATGCCAAGTCGTATCGATCCCGCGTATACGACCCTACAATACCAAAAAACTAATCATGAGAGGCATTATTGCAGCGCTCTTCCCCCCCCCCCCTTCGTGACCCAGTTTTGCGTCTTTTTTTTGATGGTCTTCGGCCTTGCGATGGTTCGGAGGAAATTCGCACATTATATTTCCCTCTGCTCAAGCTGTCAACCAGCAACAGGACTGTTCTCCGTATTCAAAGTAAGGACCACCATCAGCCTGGTATAGAAGTCCTAATGACGTATCTGGTCAGTAGCCGCCCCTCCCACAGAAAGAAGTAAAGATTGCGAACTGGGGATCAAAGCTGCGGTGTGGTCGACTCAGCCCGGGCCCAGTAGATGAGGCTATTGGTTCGGTGCACACATAATCGCATCCTTGGACCAAAGCGGAAGTCGTGCACAGGCCAGAGAGGCGGCCTCGCTTCTTCGCTCTTTTTGTCGCGCCTAAGGTTACTGTGACCTGGCTTGCTGAGGGGGTGGACTGAATGCCGAGTCCCGGGAATGGGCAATTGTTTTCCTGTTGGCTTTGCTTTTGCCAGGGCGTACTGCTCTTTCAGAATATTCCGAAGTCCGGGATACATGGTTATGCGTAGATGAGGCGAGCGGGGGAAGACACTATGTAAATGGAGAAAGGGCTAATCATGGGAGATCGGGGCTTCGGTGAATGGGTAATTTAGTACGAGTAGTGAAGGCGTATGCACCGATATGTGCCAGTTGTTCATCCAGCACAGGGTCCAAGTCGTACCTCGCCGTAATCGTAATGGGAAATTCCAGGGTTTTTTCCCAGGTTCCAGGTTGTGCAGGTTGTGGTAGGCTAGGTACTCAGGTGTGCCCACGGTGCCCTAGGTAGCCTAGAGCGCGAGTAGTAGGGTGTCCCCTCGGTCGGTCGGCGCCCAGGAGCCCAGCTGCCTCCAAGTAGATGCCCAGGTTGTGCCCAGCAGCGAAAGAGCTAGGCACGGTAGCCCCGACACACCCCACTAAGCGTGGTCATCGTAATCCCTATGCAGCCACGCACCGTCAACAAGTGTCCGAAGCGTCAGTCAGTCACGATCCACGCCAGCATCATGTCATCATCCAACCCAACCCATCTTCCTATCCACCCACACCCCCCCTTGCTAATCGTTAGCTCGCAGGGTTCCACTCTCAGGGACTCCATATCCATCCCTGTCGCTTGCACCTTTTCTGCTTTGTGTGCAGATGCGTGTGTTGTGTTGCGGCGTACGAGTACGGCACCAAGGAGACGTGCATCAAACTTTTTGCCCGCTCTCCATCCTTGCCTCGAGTGGACTCTCTTTTTTGGTTCGAACGAAAAAGTCGAACGGCTCACACACATACACACCCCCCCTGGTCTGAAATGCTCATCATGGTGGATCCCCAGCTAACTTATGTCTTGTTAGTAACCCAGCCCTTCACGCTGAGTACCACTGGGTACTACACATGATATAAGGCCTCATGCCTCACGCCTTGTTGCCCTCCCTCTCACCCTACGCTCCTCGAAACCCACCTCTTTGGATACCATTGTCGACGAAACTCTCATAAGCTGACATACCCAACCTCGATCTTGTTAAGGATACAGTCTTGTATTCGTATAATACCCTGCTCGTGCCTTGGTCTTCCCTCGTCGGGCCACCCTTCCATTGAGACATAGTCTTTCCTTGTCCATCCAGCTTGGAGGAGACAACTACGGTCACAGCAATCCCAGATTTGGATCAGCAATGGGCGCTACTATCATGACTCCCCCTCTGGAACCTTCATCACCTATGGACGGCGGCATTCGCAAGCGAGTATGCAAAGCTTGCGACCGCTGCCGTTTAAAGAAGTCAAAGGTCGGTCTATTGCGCGGAATCACGGTATACTCCAGGTGTGGCTGACACATAGCAGTGCGACGGCGCCAGTCCCTGTAGTCGATGCAAAGCAGATAATGCCATCTGTGTCTTCGGAGAGCGCAAGAAGTCCCATGACAAGGTCTACCCCAAAGGGTAAGTCGCTGAGCGCACGGCATTCTCGAACAGTCACAATGTCTCTTGTTTCTGACACGTGGGTTCCCTGCAGATATGTAGAAATGCTCGAAAGCCAGCAAGCACAACTTGTAGCCGGCCTACAAGAGTTGTACAAGCGAATGCAAAACGGCCAAGGCTGGACCGGCGCACCTCTGAAGGAATCGGCGAACGGTGTTCCATTGACCCACGACATTCTGGAAAGACTGGGTGCCCTGAAGCAAGACGGTCACACAAGCGACGTCTTTGAGGAGGACCTCACGGTTCTGCAACAGAAGCTGATCGCCGACGGAGCTGGCTTCATGCAACGACAACCCTCGCACGACTCGCATTCCGACTCGAGCGCTCCCTCTCCCATCTATGAGCCAGTTGCCCAACGGCCGAATTTCACCAATCCTTTCAACCTGAACCAGTTCCCTCCGACACCACCCAACCAAAGCCCGTTCCCCCAGAACGCACGCGTTATCCCGACCAAAGCTCATTCCTATCCTCACACCCAGTCGAACCTTAGCTGGAACACGCCGGTGTCCGAGTTTGATGACAGCATGGACTTTATCAATCAATTCGAGTCACCCATAATGGAATCCACCATTGATATGAACTCATTTCCACCAAACATGTTCCAGGAACATATCGTGCCCGCCGCGATCAATCCCTGTCTGACCATGAAAGACTGGGCCGGTCAGGAAGATCTTCAACGGTATTTCAACGCCAACATGATTTCATAACCACCGGATGTTCTTTTTCCGATACACGACTGTTAATGATCATATCAATGTAATGCATCCCAAAAGCGGGCGCACGGGTTTGGCTTTTTCGGTGGGGTTCTCTCGGATCGCTTTGGGTTATTGGAGGGTTCTTGCGGATATCGCATCCGGCGTGCAGGAGCGGCGGCAGAAGACGACCTCGATGGCCACGTCTTGCTGTGAGTCAGTGGAGTGATATTGACATCTCTTCACGGCTGGTTTTACGTCACCCAAGTGGGCTTCGTGTGTACCACGTGGCGGATGGCAGGTTTTGATGATACCATATCTCGATTGGGACGTGTTTTTTTATAGCAGATTACTGCTTTGGGTGGAAACAGGGCCGTGGAGCATTTTCCAAATGGCGAACAAGGGTGGTCACAGCACTCGTTTATGGTCATTCCAATGGTGCGACCAGGGTTAACGCAGGCTGGCATGCCTCGTCGAATACCTTACTAGGTTTCTATATATACTAATGCATTGAGCAGAGAGCAATCTCCTCACATAAGTACACATAATGTACACAAGACAGCCATTCGGTGGAGAATGTGCGAGAATCTACCCCGCAACAGCCTTGCGCCATGTTCAACTTCAACCCCGTGTTAATAGAACACCCAAAATCCCAAGAATCAGGCTTGTGGACATTCTGATAGTCCGGTAGAGGGAGTGACTGGTCGGCATTTTTATGAATCCCATGTTGGACCCAATTCAGCCTATGGTACATTTGAGCCGGGTAAATACGCGGCAGCAAAACATCCCCCCACCCTGCGTGATTGGAGTGAACAATCATGACCTCAAAAAGCCCGTTGATATCTCACGTCAAAAATACCTTCGTTAGTATTTGCATTCGACAACTACAACTCGACTCGGTCTTCTTTAGCATCGTGGCCCGGTTCGTCTTGCTCTGCGTGTCGCAACCATGTCTTCAGATTCCGGCTTTTCGTTCCTCCCGCAGGGTGCAATCGTCCAGGAGTTCAAGGTGGCCGGCCACAACATCGTGCTGGGGTATCCCACGCCCGAGCCGTACGCCGACTCGCCGTTCTTTGGGGAAACCATTGGTCGCGTGGCCAACCGGATCAAGAACGCCGAGTTCACGCTGAACGGCAAGTCGTACAAGCTCGCGGCGAATGAAGGGTCCACTACACACATCCACGGCGGTGTCAGGGGCTGGGGCAAGAAGCAGTTCAAGGGTCCTCAGCCGGTCAACCGCGACGGCAAGGAGGCAGTCCTCTTCACTTACGTGTCGCCGGATGGGGAGGAGGGGTATCCGGGCACCGTGGAGCTGAGAGTCTGGTACATCGCCTGGACAGAGGACGAAGGTGGCGTCACCAAGACGGTGATGGAAACAGAGTATGAGGTGGAATTGATCGGGGACGAGTGCGACGAGACTGTCGTCAACATCACAAACCATGGGTGAGTCTGGTCCCCCATGATGGGCTGTTTCGTTTTATTGCCAACGCCTGCCTGCTAAATGCTGTGTTGGACAGCTACTTCAACTTGAGCGACGGTCCCACCATCGAAGGATCGGTGGTTACTCTTTATAGCTCAAAATATCTGGTGGTGGACAGTGCATTGATCCCGACCGGGGCCATTGAAGACTTTCCCGGGATCGAAGCAAACAAACCTTTTGTTCTAGGCGCGACAGAGCCAGACATCGACCATTGCTTCGTGGTCGACACCGACACATCAGACCTCCCACTCGACACCCGCCAGAGACAGCTCAAGCCGTTGATCAGTGTGTCACACCCTAAGACGCAACTGCACCTGGACATCTTCAGCACGGAACCTAGCTTTCAGTTCTACACGGGGAAACACATCAAAGCCGCCGCCACGGGGTCGACGCCAGCGAGAGGCGCGCGGGCAGGGTTCTGCGTCGAGGCAAGCCGGTTCATCAACGCCATCAACGTGCCAGAATGGAGGAACCAAGTCATACTCAAGCGCGGCCAGGTCTGGGGCGCAAAGACGGTGCACAAGGCTTGGAAGGCATAGAGATGTTATTGCCATGTAGTGAGTTGTGACAGACGGACGTACACGAGGCTGAACAAGGCTCTCCTCGCGCCGCCCCCTTCTCCCTCTCCCTCCCTCTCTGCTCCTGGACGAGATTCCTGAGCCACCAAGGTGGCCTGATATCACGTGTGGGCAAGATGACGGGGATAAGGGCGTATAGTTTGTACTTGGTAATACAGACTATTAGGAGAAAATCTGACTCTAGGGCTCGGGTGAGCACTTGGGAACGAGGCAGGCACGTTCGAACAGGCAGCCAGACTGAACGATAGAATCATCAAACAGTGTCCCCCCTGACAAATGCATCTCGTACCATGACGGCATTGAAGGCCATGAAGCATGGGCCCATACCACCAAGGTGCATGGTTCCCGGGCGCTGGTTACATGGCACTTTTAGACTTGGCCACACCTTCTCCTAGGAGATTCCAAGGAGATCCCAAGGAGAAAGAAAATGACGCGTGCCGATATTCCAGAAGACCATTGTCGAAAGGTACCGTACCTAGGTGTGGAGGTGAGATCTTTGGCTGACAAGGGGAGAATAGGAGGGAAAAATGCCTCATAATCATTCCCATACCCATGGCGATGGAGGGAAAAACGCGAGAGATCACGGAGCCGCTTTTGGAAGTATCGATGACAAGTTACCTAGGTAGATACCTCTGGGTGACCTCCGTGGTAATTCTTGATATGTCAAAGGGGGGAAGAAATTAGAATTGGCCTGCGGTGCGTCGGGCGTAACTAAAAGCCGAATAATAATCCACCAGCCCTCCACGGAGACGCATCCGTCTTTTGCGATCAAATCACTTACCGACGACCTACTACTAGTCCCTGATTCCTGTGTGAACTCGGTACAGAGAACACACCGTACACCGTACTCGGTCCAAACAAGTACGACGCACACAACTTTCTTGAGACCTCGTGATTTATTTTTTGAAGGCAACAAAGGGAAATCTTGCTTGAAACGACGTCAATTCCGCCCTCGCCCTCCGCTCCCCTTGGCCGTCCGTCGACTTTCCCCCAGCCCGGGTCCGAGTTCTGTCCGTGACCTTACTTTGCCCTACCTCTTTTGATCGACAAATCGCATGACATTCCCCCCTTCCAAAGATTCCCTTCAGGGGGGGTAAAGTCGCGCATAGCCACCACACACCATGGGAATCGGTTCCATTTGAAGTATTTCCGTATTTTGCGACACAAAATTGGGAAAAAAGCCAAAAAAAAAATGAAAGGAGGGGGGAGGCAGAAGGGCGCTTTTCCGAAAGGAAGGTAATGGGTGGATTTGTATCGTCGATCAAGGGAAATTCCACACATCCAATTAGAACCAACCAAGCGAGTACGCACCCACGCATCCAACGGTACGGAGGAGCCCCCCAAGTAGTAGTTTTACAAGATCTCGGCCGACATTGGAGATGGCGTCGGATATCTTTTCACCCGAATCCGAAACCCCTGCGCGCTTGAAAGAACTCTCTCTCTCTCGCACGAGGCCGGTCGGCCAAATGACTGCGACTGAGCCTGGGCGCGGCCTGTGGCTCGCCTGAAGGGCTGTCCCATCGTGCCGTCCGTTCATCCACCAGTTAGTGTTTTGGCGATGCTGATTCTAGGGCCTGGTGACTGCTACTACTGCTACTACTTGTTATGTCCGTCTGCACTGGCTGGCACCTACAATGCCTACCGAATTGGGCGGTCAAGTTTCACATCCAAGTGGCCGACCATGATTGGACACGTTCATACCAGAGTCTGGATTCTCCGAGGCGATATTTGATCAAGCGAGATGGGCTCCAGAACAAAACAAAACTTATGAGAGGGAGACAAGGAGCGCAAGACCCCTCGATGCCTGGATTGACAACTACTGGGCGGCCTTAGGAGGGTGTGTACTCGTAAGACAGGCTGGTCTAAACAACGATCAACGGGTTCTAGAAGATCTATCAGGCCGTCAGGCCAATATAAGGGTTTGATTGCTGCTGCAGATGGGTGGCGGTCAGTGCTTCAGGGCCGTCTTGTCTAGAAGGACGGGTTGAGGCAGTGCCCCAGGCATCAGCCAAAGCGTTCAACCATGAGCAGGTTGGCAGGGCTTCTTTGTCAAATGGCATGTGGAGAGATGCGATTGGGCGAGCAAGCGGCAATCACTGCCATCCTAAAGCGGCCCCTGGTGCTACGAAGTTGGTCAACTGGCCCTTTACGAGTAGGTCCACGTATTCGCTTGGGCTTCCCAAGGCGGGGATCCTGACTGACTCGAAGGTAGCTTTCAAGGTAACTCGTATAGCACCCGTGTAAGAAACTGCCAACTTTGCCAATACTCTGCCGCCAACCGCCTCGTGGTCAAACAAGACGCCGTGTTTCTGGGAGGATCGAGACAAGAGAACGAGAATCACGATTTTGTTCTTGCCGTTCTTGCCTCCTTCTTGGATCGGAGTTCCAAGACAAAGGAGGACGATTGCCCCAGAATTCTTGATGATTTTGATTTCCAGGGCGCTGGGCAGGGTGACAATGCCGAGCCACAAATAAACCCTCTTGTCCAGCGCCACCGTACTCGTATGTACACGCCTACTTGGCTATTCGTGAAGGTGATTTTATTTTAAGAAGTTTGACCTTGATGTTGTCGTCGTCAGTTCTCGGCGAGTTGGCATGCTGTGTTGAAAGGGGAAGGTTTCGCTGAGCAAGTTGCTGAGAAAGACTCTCCCCCTTCAAAGAATCCTACGGGTCGTCCTCAAGGTCAGTTAAACCAAGTACCGTACTTGTACAAGTAGGGAAGCACAACTTTTTGTGGGTTGGGATGGGGCCTTGCCAGGTTGTACCTAGAGTACGAGTGAGGGACGAGTTGTGGCCGTTGTGGGTTTAGCTGATCGGGGGCCGCATAATTCGCTGCATAACTCCTATTCGGGATAAAGCCCCCTCCCAGGCTCCAGTCAAGAAGAAATTACGGTTGTCAGATGCCGTATTTTTGTGACCGACAGTTTATCCGGTATTGGAACTAGTGTATTGACATTTCAAGTTTCAAATGTCCGATGACAAGACAATCGCATGATGGCCAAACTGCGCTGCGCTGCGCAGTTTTGATCTTGATCTACTGCTACTACTACTACTTGTCTTCTTCGCCCCGCGCCGCTCATTCGGTCGCTGTTGATCGCCGAAACCACAGCGCCAGAAAGTAATCAGACTACTCAATTCGGCCTTTTGAGATTTTATCGATCCGTATCCTCTACGGACACGGACTTGCGAACGCCCTTCCTCGACGACAAAGCCTTCGTTCGACACGAGGTTTCATTATTTTATCCTAGCGTCGAAACAGGATCCTGCCCATCACTCACCCTTGGCCCACTCACTTATTCACTTACTCACTCCGTCTCAATTCCTTGTTCACGAGACAAAGAACGAACGAGTCTCTCGCTTGGCACCTCCAAAAATCCAAACAAAGTTCCTAGACCGGCTATAACACATTCCAACCGAGAGCGCTTTGCCCTTTTCTAGTTCCTGTGTGCGCCATGTGATTGGCCTGTTGATGGAGCAGTCTGCCGCTGACTCAGAATGCTCACCAAATCTCTGTCATGGTTTGGGCTGGCCTGGCTGGCAATCTAGGCCCTTTTCAGGTCGCCAGCCAGCTTGCTGCTTGGTCAAACAAGTCTCGTATTGTATTCTGTGAGCACTGAGCAGCGGCTCGCAATGTCTCCTCGGCCGCGCATGTGCGCTTGATCCTGACCACCACATCCCCCCTCCCCTCCACCAACCATCCAGCTCAACCCTGCGCTCTCTCCACTCTTGAAGCTTTGTGCGTCTCGCTCGTGTCACCTATTGGATCTGGACTCTCCAGGCCAAGGGCTTTGACAAGGCACTCGTCAAACGAAGCTTCCACTGGGAGGATTCTTGCTCAGGCAAGGTAGACTTCCTGTTCGAGGAATGGATTCAGGCCGAGTAACGTTCGAGACTTGCATGTAGAGGTCTCTTTCCCCGCTTCTCTTGACGAGCGCCAACCAGGAGACACCTGGATCTGCGATCTGCATGCCATCTTGTGAGTCATCAGGGCGCATAGCCAAAATATACGCCCCTTGTTGGACCCCCTCTTCCCTCTCCGCACATGCAACCAATGTCAGGGCCTTTTGCCGTATCAGGAATCGACCTTCGCACGGTCCCCTCTCAGGCACGGTCAGTTGCAAGATCACGGGATCCTCACTGCTCGCCACTGAATGCTTCTGCTGGCTACAGACGGCGTAATCAACTGCTGCTCGGTAATGTGGACGATGGGCAATCTTCTTTTGGCATTCAAGGCCACTTCGGGCAGTGGATTCTTTGATATCTGATTGGGAGTCAAAGTTTCCCCATCTCTTGGAGGTTTTTCCAGGAGCGGAATCTTGAAGCTGCCCTCATGCGGCCGCTTGTGACGATAGCGATAGACGACCTCATCACCAAGGCCTGCAATTCGTCTCGACTGTTTCCATTCCTGAGTGAATCCAACCGTCTGACAAATGACGGGCGATGTTTCCTCAACATTTCTGACTAAATCGGACTTCGCCCGAGGTTATGTCCGCCATCGGACGCCTGATTTGGAATCCAATCTTTTCCAACCAAGCACCCCATGCGCACAAAGGAAGTGCCAAGGGGATCGATGGCGGGTTTTTTTGGTTTTATCCTTTTTGCTGCTCAATAATCGTTTACCAGTGCTCATTCAGCGACGCCAGGTTGTGACGAGCAGATGGAGGAAATTTGAGGGCCACGGGGTATACCCGATATCAGAACAAGTGCTTCCACAACAGGAAGTAGGCGAATCCGTCCCTGCTTCTCGCTGATCGAGTACCAAGACAGATCGTGTTTCATCTCTGCCCCGTCCTGCCCGTCCCTGATGATGGCAGCCAGTGTCGACGACTCGATGGCCAAGGGCACCAGCCCCTCAGTCGTAATTCCTGGGCGAAACCCTGACGACTAATAATCAACCTACTTACTCATCCTTGTGCGCAAACTCAATCTGGAACCTGATCTTGTTGCTGTCCCTGCCTTGAGCGATCAATCACAGCTCCAGGTCTGGACCCGATAGGGGTGATTGACGAACAAGCGCCTGGGCTTCTTCACCAAGGTGACCCTACCTTTTCGGGAAGTTACACGCTACTCTGCTCGAAAAAGAAACGAGCCTTTTGGGAGCTCAGCTGGATTATATTACATCAGCACTTCAGGAGGTTGGTGTGTCCAGGGAGAAGTACAATTTTGAGGTACCTCGGCACGTGCTCACGATACGATTATACGAAGAGACAAGTACGGGATTAAGCTCGTGGATCCCAGCCTAATTATATTGACCTGATCGCCGATCTACATTCTTCTGGAGTTCGGCAAGCCGGATCCTGTGCGGTTACAGCCGTCCGAAGCTTGACCGATGCATCTATCTACAGTCTGGTGTCACTCGGCACCGAATATCGAAGCACCAGAAAGTTCGTTCTTGATTACGAGTACATCTCTGCATGTTGCTAGATCGGCGATTAGATCTCCCACCCAGCTGGATTCAACAAGAGCCATGTTGAGCTTGCTCGCCCTCCCTCTGGGTAGTGTCAATCCTGAGGATCGAGGTCGCAAGTCCAAATTCCAGATGCAGGTAGAACGACTTTCAATTCTAGCATCCTTCGAGAATCCATTCTGCCTGAATTTTTTTTTTTTTGGTTCTATTGGCGGGTCACCAATTCTGCCAGACGAGTCAGCCTCCTGATCCCAGTCAGCCGCGGCGTGGGGCTTCGCGTTCCCACCTCCTTTTTGGTTGAATGGGGAGCGAGATGGGGCTGGAAGGATTTGGTCGACGTCACCGTTGTTACATGGTCTGGGTGCTGGCCTGCTGGGTCTACCGTAGCGGATGGGGCCATACCAACTCGAACGAGTAGCGAGACGGGTTTCCTCATCACTGAACGACGTTCTTACGAAGACTGGAATCTTTACATTTGATCGTGAATGAGAGTAGCCCAGCCCAATTGTCGAGGTCGACACCGCGGACACACTACGAGCTACACTCAAAGAGTCCTCCTTGTTGTTGGGCCTCCATCAAAGTCGACGTTCGTCGGCTCTTGCTCCTCTAATTTTCTTGTCCGTCAAGGATAAAAGTTTGTTTGGGATTGTCATGCATATTACAACTATGAGTCTCCGAAAACAGACAATATATTGGGCCAGGATCACACGATCGAGATCTTTCTTTTCCTGCGTATTTCCCATTACGAGTGAACAGCCATTGCTCTACCAAACTTTCTTGATTCACCTCTTGCTGGCAGAAAGGTGCGGAGTTTTTGCTGGGTCGTTTTACCCGACCCTTGAAGTCTGGAGAGGACATGGATCTGAGTGCGTCTGGAATTGCCGACGTGTTGAAGAAAAGGTCTTCCTACGGCAAGAGATCCAGCTATCCAACTAGCTACCTAGCCAGCCAGGAAAATAATGCTATCAAACAGCTTTTGATGAGGACTGGATGACTGCGATGAGCTGAGTCCTGGTCTGAAACCTACACTTAACACATTTCTTTGTCGAGGTGGGAATCTCCAATCCCCAATACGAGGTGCAACAGACGGCTGGGACGTGCCATGTCGTCTGAATTTTTGTCGTGGGTCTTGATGAGAATCACTTGTCCGTGGTTGAAGTGGGAAGTGGGAAGTGGGAAGTGGTTTCGAAAAGACGATGTGACTTGTTACGCGGACGAGAAGGCAACACCTTGCTCTACCACGCTGGATGACAGTTGAATTGAAGCAGATGGAACAGGACAAGGGTGCATCAGTGATTCCTAGTCGTCTAGCCCGAACAAGTAAGTCCCGTTGGCGTGGCACGTGCAATCCATATGACGCCTTTCCTTTTATGGACAAGCACGACGTCCCCTTGGGCTAGACTCGAGCTACCAAACTCTCTTTTCGATACTCGGACTCGAAGCATTTGACGTCGAGAAGGCACTGTGAATTGAATAGTTCACTAGTTCCCAATGATATACAATGACCTCTTTACTACTCTCCAGCTCTCCTTCCACCACCATTTCTCTTTCCCCCGACACCTGCCCCGCCCCATAAATGGGTTCGTGGGATATTGCCGACCGACTCCTACGCGTATGATGACGGAGACGTTTACGAAACGAATCCTATTCGAGCATGGACGCCGACCTCAATGTGCAAGGCCAGCCGCTTCACACGCCTTGGAGCGCCGAACGGCTACAGAACGACCCACGCGGCACTGGTGTTTATCCGCGAGGACACGACGATCCCTGGCCCCCAAAGTTCTCGACTTGGGCTGTCTCGGAGAAGGGGGTACCACGATATCGTTCGACGCCGACAAGATCCCCCGCGCCTGGTCGATTCTCTTTCGCACAAGGGACACAACAACTGCCGACGTTGGCCCGGCGGGTCATCATTGTGTTTTGCCGAAACTGGCTCTTGCGACGAAAAATCAAAAGAGGGTGGTGGACAATCGTGAATTGATTTGAATTGAATGAACTGTCCTAACAGCATGCATGCTTGAAGGAGCTATATGGATGGATGGGTGGATGGTCATTGGAAAGGTGTTAGTCGAGCGGAGTTGAGTTGTGTTAGCTGGGTGGATTTTTCGGGCTGGCGTGCTACGTACGTAAGAATGTAACGGACGGCCGCGACGAAGGGTTTCGGGTTCTTCATCTATTCTGTTCATCAAGTAATTACTCCTACAGTACTTTTGCTCCTGGTCGTGGTCCTGGTTGCAGCAAGATACCGACCCTACTATTCTAAATCTCATTCTACCTCTTCCCCCCCCTCACCCCCTCCCCTTCCGCCCTCTGAAGGCCGGGCAGGCCGTCTGTCCCGTCTACGTCGTGCCGTGTCGTGGACTCAAACGGCCCCGATCCTCGCATCACTCATCACCACTGCAGGCGACATACTATCCACATTCTCTTACTTGATGTTTGTTTCTCATAGTAATGGATCAAACTATTAAAGGAACTGTTTGGTGATCGGGCACTATAGGTAGGCATGAGTGACCACGGAATAATGAATCCCAATAGTAATGATAATAATATCTGATATCTGATATCTGATATCCATATACCACTCCCATTTCCACCGCCACTGCGTCCCCGAACTTTATCCCATCCTTTTAGGGCTTTTTGTAGTGTGAATCCCAGACCAAAGTCGAATCGAAGGTGTATGGATACCCCATCGTAATGATATGCGCCATAATCGAACCCTTGCTCAACTGGAAAAGGGCTTGTTCGTCATCCCTTCGTCAACATCATTGACATATCGAGGTCGTTATCGTCACAACATCTCGTTGGCGTCATAGTCTCTCGCCCCATGATCCTCGTCGTTGGCCCCTGTCGTCAAATTCCACACCCTCCACTTCAGCTTCTCGATCACCTCTCTTCTCAGCCAGGTCCCTCCCCTGTCCGAGAACCATTTGTCCGCGTCTTCATTGCCACTGTTGCCCCCTCTAGGACTTCCCCCAACTCGCTCGGTCATGTGTTTTCTTCGATCATGTTCCTCATCCTCCCTTTCCCATCGATCCAACCAGGCGAACAACAACCTCAACTGCCACAGTTTGTCCTTATCAATCTGGCCAGTCCCCATGCCGCCGTTTTGGACCACAGGATTACTCCGAGGGAGAACTCCTTGTTCAAATTCGAGTCGGGAATCCACTACTGTAGCTCTGCTCGCTTCCTTCCCATCGATCGGTGTGGGACCTAGAATCAGCGCTCTTTCCGCATGGTCAAAGTCCCTGAGAGGCCCAATCTCGAAAATCCACTCGAATGGGTTCGGGGTTGTTGACCTCGCGGCGCTCGCAGCAATGCCAGCTCCAGATACAGAGCTGGAGGCGAACGTACTAGTATAGGAAGGAAAAGCATTGGGATCGATACTTGGAATGCCCATTGCCAAGGCCTTTGCTTGCAATTCCGCCATGAAAAGATTCTTCGGGGGCTCGTCGTACACTGTCCGGCGCCGAAGGACCACATTCACGGCATTTTCGCTCTTGATCTTTTCTCGCAGCGATTGACCTCCAGCTTCGAAGTCGAGGTGACCATCCCAGAAGCCTTCGCCCTTGATGTCTATGGATTTAATGGTGTCGAATTCTGGTATCAATCCTGGCAAGGGGATTGTCTGCGTCTCACCATTTTTCAGGTTGATGCAGCCGGTCATGCCACCCGTGACAGAGCCGCCTGCATCACCGTCTCTTGCCACGAGACAGCGCCCCTCGGCAGCAAGCACCCATAGATGCCGCAAAGCTTGAAGATGGCCGCGGTTGTCGAGGACGTCATTCGGAAAGATCGGATAGAAGGCGATACACAGGCTCGCAATTCCTAGATTTGAGGTTCCAAAGGTCCGTGTGCCGCCGGCTAGGAACAATGCACCAAGCGCCATATGTGCCGCCAAGTGGCTTCCGAATGGCGTATCTTTATCGGTACGTCCATGAAGAGCACGCAGACGGCGCATAACGACTAAATCGCCTGAACCAGCCATAACGGTAGCTGAAGCCAGGGCTAGGGTGTCGAGGCAGTTGCGTACGCTGTTGAGGGTAATTTGTGAATCGTAGTTATGCGCAGGCAGACGGCTTAGACGGATGAAATTGTCCAAGTAAGAGACGAGAAGATCGCGAACGTCTTGTCGTTGAGAGCCCGCGAATCTCAGCCCAATGGCAAAACAGACCCCGGCAATAATGTTGAAGAACGGCATGTCTTCAGTGCTGAGAAACTTCGTAGCCTTCAGATCGATTCTCGACCTGTAGGGCTCGGGAAGCGACATACCGATAAAATCGTCCGTGGGTTGAATCGAGTTCCACATGATCAGGTGCCGCGCAAGAGTCCGAAGAAGGAATATATCTGGTCGCACATAGTCGAACTGGTGCAATGTATCTGGAATATCGACTTTCTGCGCGATTGCTCTATCGTTGGTTTTCATGAAAATGAAAGCGATGGCCATGACAGCACCTGCAGTTGCACGGTCGAGGACATGGACCATATTCACATTCTTCGTGCCCACGGCGATGGTGAGAAGGCGTTCAACAACACCCATATCATGGAGTCCATGAAGGCGTTTGCCCTGCCCAAGATTGATGAGTCCTAACGAAAATCCGGCGGCCAGGCGGTAACCCTCATCGCGAAGCACGTTGTCAAATGCAACACCCTCTTCGGGGTCATCGTTCTCAATTTCTGACAGCATGACTTCAGACATGCGACGGTGCTGAGAATTACAATACAAAAGCCCAATTCCCATAATTCCAGTAGTTTGTGTCAATGGAGATAGATTGAGTTCGGCTGCGCCAGACGGCAGTAGACGTGTGACGTGGACCGAGAGCAGCCGTGTGATCAAGGTGTCCATGGTCCCTAGGAAAGAGGCTGATAGTCCGAGTAAGAGTCCGACGGATGTCATCGTGTGCTTGGGTGTGAGGTACTTGAATGCAACCCATTTGGCTAGTGTTCGAAGATGTCCGTTGAGACCAAGAGCAAGCAAGAATCCAGCATGGCGGTTTGTCAAGTCAGGCGGCTTATTGAACTGTATCCATGAGGTGTTGATTCCTTTGGCGTCGGTCGAGATCATGAGGCCCGTCGAGGCGCCGTTATGAAAGAATGCCCAACACACCTTCTCTTCTGTATAGGTGGCTTTGTCGGCGCTGAAAGTCATGGCTTGAGCCCCCTCACTCGCGTTACGAGGTTTCATAATACATTGCAGACTGAAAGCGGGCGAGGGCACCCTCTCTGTGAGCAAGGGGACGCGCCCACTAAAATGCATCATACCTCGCCCTGCAGCCACAGACAATGTTCTGAGGGTGACATACTGTGCTAGTTCCTTTTGCGCCTCTAACATGTCCACATCACTCCAGCCAGGCTCGGGTGTGCACTCCACGACGGGAGGTCGGCTCTGATTGACAAGTTTAGAAGCTTCTGAGAAGCGACGATCCTCGTTAAATATCAACTTGCTAATAGCATGTCGGTCGGCTTCAGAGGATGCGTCCCATCTTTGAAGGGTTTCCGTCTCGGTTGCAGAGGAGCACACGGTGTGATAGTCCTTTACAGCTTCGTGTGATGGTGGCAGCACCAAGTGTGGCTTGTACGAATGGTGAGATAGATCGTAACCTCGGTGTGATGTAACATCGCGTCCTAGGATCAGTTGATTCACCTGGTCTCCTATCTTGTCCGCCCTATACCGGAATGATGCAATTGTTTGATGGAATGCGGCAGCTACTCCGTCAGGAAGAGTGCTCAGGACGCGCTCGTTCAATCCCGACCGAAGCAAAGCTGCGACTGCTTTGTGGGGGCTGAGCTGGTCCTTAGCTTGATCCATGAAGGTCAGGAGTTCTAACGTCCGGGGGGTCAGATTTGCTGCTTGCCACCACAATGGATGGTCATGGTTGCTCAGCTCCGGCAAACCAGATAAACGAGTCAGGGTCAAAAATGGAGCAGGTGAAATTCCTTTGATCCACTTTTCAAAATGCTCGTAGATCGACGGCGGCGGAAATGGCTGGGCTGGGATTCGGAGACCATCGAGTAAAGAGTCGTCGACCAAATATTCAGCGACTTGTGCTGATTCGTGCCCGTAGTAAGTGTTGCTCCCAGCGGTCCAGTCTGTCCATCCTAGCCACAGCCCCAGCTGTACGAGAGCGACCAATAAACGGGTTCTTGTATCCTTCCGGCCAGGATTTGCTACAGTGTTGAGTTTGTCTTCCTCGTAAAGGAGATGAAGTCCGAGTAAAATGCTGGGTATGGCATTGCATCGCTGTTCTCGCTCTCTGTTGATCGAAGTTGGCAAATAGCCCTCCGGTCCAAGGGCGCTTTCCCCAATGGGAGTCTGGGTATACTCTCGTGCCAGTGCGATACATGTGAGCAAAAAGGCGTTCTTCTTCTCGGGGGCACGTTCTTGAAAAGATGTTGCACTCGCCGCGCGTGAGTGCTTTGATTTTGGAGTGACTGTTGCTGTTTCGGGTGGTTTCTGAGACATCCATTCCCAAGCAGGCACTTGCGTTCCTAATGCTTGGGGCATTTCGTCTTCCGCATGATGCATAAGGTTGTAATTAGTAAGGTCGATGGCACTTCCACTACTGGACCGAAGAAAAGCAGTTTTGGTCCGACGACGCGTTGGTGTGGACTGCGAATGCTGACTGCTGATGAAAGGCACCCCAAGCGAGAAGAGCACTACCAGCAGTGCAGTCCATTCAGAGGTCACTGGTGTTTCCCTGCCTTTCAACCACCTCGCCACCTCCCAAAAGGCAACGAGAAGGCTTTCCTGTTGGTTTGGACCTAGCACCATGTTACACATGTTGAGAACCTTTTGCACGAGAGGATCTTGAGGAGCAAGTTGGATTCCCAGCGCATGCCGGCGCTTGTCTTGATCAACAACGTAAATCTGTGCTTGAATGCCCGAGTCAAACAAGGCTTGAATTTGTACTTCTTTCGCCGGTATGACCCTCCTGATTCCCGTATCTTTGTCTTTCCTAGGGCTATATGGCTGAGGGCTCACAAGCGGGTCGTAGATTGCGTATCGAACAGGAAGTCCGATTTGGAAAGACGGAGACCATGGCGACTCGAGCTGCAAGCCAATCATCTGTGACCGGGACTGTGTTAGGACGACTAATCGTTGAATAGATCTATCCACGACTGTGCAGGCGTCCTTTATACCCGGTAAGCTGCGGACTTCAGCAGCTTTGAGCTCCAAAGAATGCTTGGACACGGTCGATTTTCTTGTACCGGCATAGATATGTCGTTTGACCAAAACCCTGACGATGGTCATCTCCTGTGTGCTCTTGTCTAGTACGCAAAGGTAGACGTCCCTTGTCTGCTTACCATCCTGCTCGAATGAGGTGCCACTGCTCAGCTGCAAAACCTTTGTTTCGAATGCTGAATTGGACTCGGGAGCTGACTGCCGTCTGGGGAAGCTTTTGACCTTGAAGAACCCGACGCTCTTAGGTAAATTCGTTTCTGGGCCGTCAAAGGTATCATCTTCGAGGCGCGTGGATTGCCGTAATGGGTCAAACTCTTCTAACAGAGCCCGAGCTGAAATGTCCAAGAATGAGGTTCCATTGCTTAGGATCGATGCATTTGTCGGGAAAGAGCTCCTCCGTCGAAAACCAAAGCTCTGCCGATCATTGAAGCTGCCGATTGACTCGCCTCGTCTGCCCGCCCGATTCAGACTCTGTCGGCCTGCATGGCCCATTGCAAGGTCATTGAATGTGTTTCGATCGGTTGCGGGACCCAAATCCGTGCGTGCCAGCATTGAGCTGACTCTGCGGGCTGATCGGGTTTGCACTCCGACGTCGCCAAATTCGGGCCCCAGTTGAGAAGCCAGATCATTTACTGGAAAGGACTTTTGCTCCTCCAAAGACGAGAACGGCCCACCGTCTGGATGTGGAGGCCGTGAGCCTAAAAGGCTTTCCCTGAGGGTGCCATGGTCTCGGCCATAGATGTTGGAACTCTTCCTCAAAGATGCGCGAGATTTGGTGTTGCCATCCTGCTTGTTTCGTGCTTGTTGTTGCTCGCTCATGGCATCTCCGCTTACGTGCCAGAGAGTGAAAGTAGCAGTTTTTTCGTTGAAGGTCAATGCCATGCAGACCGGTCGATCACTTGCCTTCTCAGAGCCGACTTCGTCGCCAGCAGTGATGTAGATTAACTTCTCTGAACGAGGGAGAGCATTGCATTCTTCGAGGGCTTCACCTTTCCGGTTGGGGCTCCACACCACGAGACCGAGTTCTGACATGATTTCAGTGAATGAAAAGGTCCTGGGCATACCACTGGCGCTGGAAGATAGTGGTCGAGGGTCCGAGTGCCGCTTCTCTGGCAAGATCAATGATGGTCGAGAGCTGTTGTCTCCGATAGACGTCAGAGTCTCATTGATGGTGCTGAGGTCATGGTGGACATGTTCAACGAAGCCACCAGATTCCCTGTCGCTCAGTTTGCGCTGTAGTATGAACCCGCATGGATACGGAAACGCAGACTCAACCTCAAAGGACAGAGGGAAAACATAGCTGTCGCCTGAGAGAAGGAATATGTGAACCTGAGTTTTGAACACCACCACTAGACCACGGTCCCCAGGCTTCACGCGTTCATTCTGGTGTTGGCCACTGTTCTGGCCAGTACCAGGCTGACCAAACCGGGTAACAAAGGCATGAAGAATAGTCTCCCCTTCAACACTGAGGTTCAGCGCTCTTTCAATTGCGCCGTTCCTGGACCACACCACGCAATGTGCTGTGATGAGAATCTCCTCTTCCACCAATTTTGAGGCATTTTTCTCGTATACGCGCGAGAGGGTCCATTTGTACAGTGAAGGCGATGGATCAGGAGGAAGTATCGAAGCGGAAACAAGGTAGGGCACAGCGCTGGGTTCGTGGAGGCCGAGCGACTGGATTGAACTCATGGCTCTGGAGTGGCGAAGGCAAGTCGACAGACATGAGGGCAAGGCGGCTTAAATTAGAGCAGGCAAGCATATCGATTTGCCGAAGTGCAATGCACTCTCAGTGGTCCTGGGGGTTCGGGCACATTTGGATGTAGTGAAAATAATGTTGATTGTTTAACTGCTTGACTGTCTTGACTGTACTGTGTAGACGCGTTCCCGACGCGATTTGGAGAAATTTAAAAGTTGCCGCAGTTTGCGGCTCTTGTAGCATCAACCCGAATCCACATTGACCACAAGTTCACACAACCAAGGATTGTCCGTTCTTTCCTGCTTTGAGGTCGCGACACAATCTTGCAGAATGAATCGATCGGCTCTGAGACAGAAAGGGCGATGGCAGCTCAGGTAAGTTCACCCTTCACGATTGCTGTGGCCTCGTCTGACCTTACAATCCAGCTATGAACTCCCACACGAAGCATTCAGATCGCATGTCTACCCTCGACAGTCCTCAAATGGCTCGACCGTCATAGTCTACGGGCACGGACAAGGCTTGCGCATTGTATGGTATGCTGGCAAGGGCTTCAAGCCATCAAAGAAAGAACTCCCGCCACCAAAGACAAATGGTTCTGCGAAGAGCAACGCTATGGTCATCGACCTCGACGACGAGGACGATGACACGGCAGGGAAAGCAGAGGCCGACATAGGACCTGCCGAGTTCAAAGAAGATGAGGAGGAAGTGGACCCGTCGGCACCATACCGGGATGTACTTCGGTATATCGACATACCCTTGGGAACAGCTGCCTCGAGGGTTGCAGTGCCACATATTGTGAAGGATCTCGCCCAGGCTCCTCCAGAGTCATGGCCAGCTGTCTACAGCGACCGCATCATTATTGCTGTCGCTTGCGCAGACCTCAGCATACGAGTCATATCTGCTCCCCTTGATCCACCTGCTCCAGGCGTACACGACATTTCCAAGATGGGTGTACGAACATTGAAAATAGAAGGTTCAAACTCTCATCAACAGTTCATCTCCGATATAGCAATCACTCACACTGGTGTTGTTTCGCGGGAGCAAATGGACCTCGAGGAACAATCTCAGGCTAAGGTGCAGACTCGCTCACAATCTCAGCCTAAGCCGGGGAGTGCAGAATCCGAATCCGAGCGATGGTCACTTCTGGTTGCTTCAGTGTCGTCGACTGGTGCGGGACTGTTACTGATTCATCAGATTCCGCTACACAAAAATCAATTTGCGACGAATGCTGATTACCCTGTCCCGATTCGACGGACGTATCTTCGGTCGTCGTGCATCAACGCGAGGGTTTCGTTCAATACTTCGCCTTACCCTGCTGAACGACATTCAACTTTGCTCATTACGGTCCCGGCAGATTCCACTGTCAAGGTTTACCAGGTCTTCCCATCACATACTCGGGAGCGTCGAGGATCTAATGCAACAGCTGATTCTGTTTCCAGCACGCGCTCGACGAGAATGCCAGGCAGCGATCGCGGGAAATTCCTCATCACGCTGCTCCCATCCTTCAGGCAGGAGATCACGGAAGTTGCCCAGCAGAGACGAAAACTGGTCCTAGATGCACGATGGCTCATCGCTGGCCGTGCTGTCGCAGCTTTGCTCGAAGATGGCGAATGGGGGATCTGGGACCTCGAGGCTGTGGGGCCTACATCTTCCAGCTCTGGTGCCAACCTCCTTCGCGGGCACGGAAATATCTCAGGCATTCAAGGTGGCTCCTTGACTCGTTTCGCTGTACGATCACACCTCTTGGCCTCCGTGGATTCTAAGCAGAAATCTGCTTACAGTGAGGCACAACCAACATCCGGCTCTTTGGCGCCGATGACCCCGTCGACCCGCAAGGTACGGTCTGAGGGTTTGTTCCAAGGCTCAACGTCTACAAATAACTCATCAAAACCAAACAGTCAACGATGCTACGGGTCAATCTATGTCGAAGAAATGCTTCCAAACCGAGTAGCACACGACGAGTCCGTGCTCATAAGCTACGCACATGAAACCGTGTACATCTCTTCAATCCTCTCTTTATGGAAGGGCGAGTCCAAACCAGTTCGCCTTCCGCCTCCAAACTTAGGGGGCCAAGTACCATTGTCACTCAGTCTGCTTCCTAGCTCAGAACTTTCAAGCAATGGGTTTTCTGGGAGCAGTATCTTCGACAACGCAGTCTCTCCTGACTTCATTACACAGACATCTCACCGCCTCATTCTCTCGCTCAACCCGCTTTCTCCACGTTCCAGCGTCGCCGATCCGTCTACACAAACGATTGCGGCGCCGTCGGACCAAACATTACTCGCGTCTGGCGATCTGGATGTTGAGGGCATGGACCGCCTCCTTGATGACATGGGTGGTATGGCAGCAACAAAGAAACCGATGAACCTCTTCACCAAGAGTGTAGGGTTCCGCATTGATGATGATGAGGATGATGGTGACGAGGATATTGACATGGGAAGCCCAACACCAGCGAAAGGCAGGGGTTTGAAGATCCTGAATGGGAAAAAAGCGTTCGAAGGTGAACCAGCCGCAAACCCAAGGAGGTTGTTCACATGAATGCTCTGCAATCCATTCCGCACGAAAAGCTAATAGATACCTTCATCTTCCCAGCCGGAGTTGGCTCTCTTTTGTTGGCAAACCACACCGGCCCCTTACGATCCCCTCATTGTCGAACTCGGTTTCTCCTTGTACATCATCCAATTTCTACTCCAGCATTCGAATTCGCGGGGGGTTCCACATGCATTACAATTGGCCAAATGGCGCCTTTGTTCTCCGAATGTCATGGTCAGCTTGTGATCAACTTACAGAAGGTCTTCGTTACATTTTTTCCATGCGACATCTGGTCTATTCCTTTTCAACGACATTTCCTTTCCCCTCTTGGTTATACTCATGCCTGCTGTATTGATGCAGCCAGTTCTTTCAGATTGCCGATGACCTTCCCTCCCCTTCTCTCTACTATGTTCAATCCACATATGTTTTCTACATTTTCATCGCGATGCAAGGTGGAGCCCAAGGTGAGATTAATACCTTGACTCAATTCTCAGGCTCAGTATTCTTCGCGAAAGATCAAACCCCCCAAGACAGAAACCTCCCCCACCCCTTTTATCCTCATCTCGTTTTTCACCTTGCCTTGTGCGGGTCATTCCCGACGGTGTGACACAAAGGAAGGGAAAGGTTCTGTCTTTTTTCGAGCCGCCAACCCATTCTGCCGAACAGGCAGATCCATTTCCTGAAGTACCTCTCTACGCACCTACCTGTCCCTGTCCCGTCTCTCTTCTCCTCGGAGAAGAAGCAGGCATGGGGTGGAGTGGGTGATGTGCTGGGTATGGATGGGATATGGAACAAGTATTGGGAATCGCAACCTTTTAAACTGCCGTCTACGGTTCTCAAGCGGATGTTGTTGGCGGCTTACATTTACAAAAAATTGACACCCTATCAGTGTCACATCTAATACTGTACGTTTGATGTTTGACCACTTCAGCAGTGTTCTTCTTGTCCCTTTCGAGCATCTTTTGAATTGTTTTTTCTCCTCTCTCTGATGGTTTTTTACTTTGGTTTTTATTTGATTTTCCTTTGGGTTGGGTAATTCGCTTTCCGCACAAGTTCGTCACCTTCGTCAGGCTCGAGCTATGCATGCCCGCGACTCCTAGCAGCACTAGTCTCTACATATTTGATATTTGTCGTCCCCGGCTTGGCCTTTCCCTTTCGGAGTCTCGATTCAGCCGTATATCCATCTGCATTCCCACCGCCTTGGTGGACGCTTTCCTCGCTATGCAAAATGAGGAGGTAGATGCCCGTGCAAACAGGAACGCAAATCACACATCCGGACACGCGGGACCCAGCCGTCTCCATTGGGACCAAAACTCTGTCGTAGCCACGGTGGTCATGGAATGGCTCGACACATCGCCCAGACGGCAATGCTGCAATCGCAAGGTGATGGAGGAATGCCCCGTTTCGACGACTCGGACACTCTTCTTCGAGATCGACCTGACCTGGCTCAGCCTGCCGCATCAAAGGGCAAGCTCCGTTGCCGAGGTATAGGCTCGCCTTGTGCTGTTCTCCTGATGACCTGGTCGACTTGACCTTCAAGGCAGAAATCCTCATGCTGGGAAAACAAATGACAGTGCATGCAGATTCAAGACAAACGCATTAGCCCGAAACAAATGCTCTCACGCAGAATATCCCAATGCCGCCAGCTCTTTCCTAACCCCTTCCTCGCTCTGAATCTTCCTCATCTGTGTATCTTCCAGTTTTTCTCCCCCAGCGAAGCGCATCTTGAGGTCCTCTATCGCTCGGATCTTCTTCAGGAGGCCGCGAATTTTCTTGTCCTGGGGGTTGCCACCAGGGGTCATTGGGGAGGTGACTTCCAATTCGGGAGGGAGTTGTGACGATTGAGGAACAGGTGGGGGTGGGGGCATAGGAATGGTTGTGTTGATATGCGTCGGCGCATTGCTGCGAGGTGTCTTGTTTTGCTGATTGGCATTGGATGCTCCCTGGGCAGGGCCTTTCGGTGTGCCATTTGCAAATCCGTGGTGCCGCTCATACGTTGAGCTGTTTGTATCACCGCGCTGTCGTCGGCTGTTGCTCCTGCTCCGTTCCTTCTTCGGTCCACTGGGCGGCTCAAGACCAGGCGCGGGCACATAATTCCTACTTCGGCTGCGCTGGTGGCCACGACCATCCGGACTTCGGCTTGGGCTCTTCCCCCTTCCACCTTGTGGTCGTTGCTCCGGCGCGAGGTTGCTGGGTTGCCCACCGCCTTGCTGTTGATCCCGGGCTGCCGCCGCCGCCTTCTTTGCTTCTCTCTTCTTGGCATTCTTCTTAGCAGCCTTGGACAGTGGTTCTCCGTCTGCTCCTTCTCCAGTTCCTGTCAAACTCACCCCTCCTCCAGGAGCAGCTCCAGGAGGAAGAGGTCCCTTTTCTTCGGCAGGCTCGGCACCTGGAACAACCCGTTGCCGAGGCTTCCCAAAGCCATTGATGTTGCTTGAGAATGACGAAATGCCCTCGCGAACGAATGCGGCACCACCTTCGTCTTCGCGCTTGAATGCTAGAGGCGTGACCTGTCCACGAGCTCCTGGTGGTCTGTACGCACCGGCAGGTTTACTGGGCGTCTTGCGGGCTGCCATATATTCCATGGCACTGCTATGCGCTGCAGGAACGTCGGCGAGCGGGTTAGCAGCCAGGGGATATGCATCAGCCGATTGTGGTCGCCAACAAACATGATAGAGCTCATTCAGATCCTGGTTATACATCAGCGAACCGCCCGCATGCCAGATACGGATGCCGTTGTCGACTCGCAACCTGGGCGAGGTAGTTGCTGTCAGGATATGAAGGCCGTCAGGAGACCATTCACACACGCTTGCATTACTGGCCTCGACGGTACAAATCTTGGCGAAATCTTTCTCCAGATCATAGATGTCCATCTGGCCAGCAAGATTTCCGAAACCGGCGACAAGAACAAACCGTCCGTGGGGTGAGAAAAGTACAGTATTGCGCGGTCCAAGAGGAAAGGTGTGTACTGGCTGGGCTCGGGAGTTGAATATCACAGTCTTTGCTGGCATGTAGCCGTAAACCACAGCAAAGCTGTTGGATTTCGGAGACCATGCAACGTCGTGAATGGGGCCCTCCTTGTCTAGAGCACGTTAGCACTTGCACGTCGCGACAGAAAATAGCGAGTAACGCACCCAAATCTATCCTTGAGTCGAAGCCACCGTTAGCACTGAGGAGGTAGAGTGTGGTCTCTCCGTAGTAGCTCTTGCCAGTCTTGTCGACTTCGGTTTGTGCCAGCACAATCAAAGAAGAGCCGTGGTCATTCCACTTGAGTTGCACTTTGTCACCTTTGAAGAAATTCTTCTGAGATATGGGATTAGTGAAGTTTGGCACATTGTACACTCGCACAGCGGCTGGTTGTCCCTATTGTTCTGGTCAGATCCAGTAAAATATAGGCTTGTGAATGTCGCGGAGGTTTACCTTTCTCTCCGGCACGAAGACTGCAATCGTGTGACTCTTCCCGGGCGACACCGCAAAGTCCGTCACGCCCTCGACTCGAATTTTATTCCAAACCGTCGTCAGGTCGTGGCTCTCGTAGATTTGCACCTCATTGGTAACGACTCTCGCACAAAATGTCTCATCATATGTGTACTGCAGGTTCCAACCAGTCTGAGACTTTTGCACGAATCTGGCGACCGGCTGCTTGTCGACGCCTTCCGCCAGCGCCTTCTCGTCAATGACCAACCACACCTTGAGATTCTTGACGGCGTCACCGTTGTCATCCTTGGAAGGGCGTTGCCATGTGATGATGTAGGTACCCTTGGGCGAAAAACCCAGTTCGAAAACGTTCTCGGCGGGGAGGGAAGAGATGATAACACCCGTGTCAGCGTCGATGATGTTAACCCTTGTTTCCAGTCAGTCCACCTCACTTTGGGTCTCAAGTGCGGTCTAATAGCATACTTTTCCGGGGAAGCCCATGCGAAATATCGGCCGCAGGGGGAGTAGGAGCAGCATCGTAGGTTTCCTTCGGGTCTGGGAAGCGGATCGTTAGCAAGTGGCTTCGTCGGGCAACATAGCATCCATATCGAACCTTTGGAAACCCGACAGTGGCTCGTAGTTGGGTGCACCGTTGACCACACCGATCCCCTTAAGAGTCCGGACTGTTGTATACAGTGTCAGCGACAAGACCTGGGTATCTTCTGCCACGTCCGCTGTCTAGGACCATACATACAGGCAAATTGTGTGAGCGCCATTTTCCTTGGGTAGTCGAGCACAGTTGAGAGGAGCGTTCCCAGCAGTCAAGATGGTTAGACTTTCTCAGACAGGGGGCGTGGATCTGGCAGGAAGAAAAAGCTGGGTGGCCAACAAGGAGATTTGTGTCAAAAGGTATCAACAACAAAAGGCCTGCGGACTAGGAAGGTTGCGGGTGACGGCAGCGTTTGTGGCGGTGAGACTGTCACAACTCGAGAGTCTTTTCCTTACTTGATAACTTAATATCAGCGATTGCAGGAAGGGACAAACAAATTGGACAGGGTGACGAGAGGGGGGCGGTGGAGGGAAGAGAGATAGAGAGGGAATGGGAAAGAAAGCGACAAAAAAATGTGTCCAGCGGAAGAGGACCAGGTTTCGTGAAATGCCAGGCTAGCGGTAAAGCCTGGGCGCAGTCATGCAAAAACTTCATTCTTAATAACGGTGTTCCCTGTGCATCAGTGGCATCCCCCAGCACGGCTTAGCCTGCCTCTAGGACCTCCTAATAATGGCCCTGCGCTTACTTAAGGCAGCTGCCTTAGCCAGGGCGAGGGGCTCGAGCGCCCTGGACTAGCAACTAGCCTAATGTTAGACCGCTACTTGAAAGGGATGTTCAGCCTCGCCATCAACATCAGCTGTTCGCTTGCCGCGTGAGTTTTGGACATCGCGACGAGCTGGAAGAACCCTGTCCTCCCGACAGTTGTCCCTGACCTCCTCTGCGAGGTCTCGATAATATGAGTTGCTACAGATTAACTGACTCGGATATCCATATTAGCCTTTGGTAACGAGTGTCATTCTTCCTACACGTGTCCCCTGGCGATCCCAGCCGAAAAGAGGGTAAACAGACCCTCAACGCCCTCGTAAACACGCCATAAACCACCCACCATTGGGCAAGTCTCAAGAGCTTCCCGCTACAACACCCAAGTTATTGATAGTCGTACAGTCACAGAACACATTCGCTCATGTTCCACCAAGAGCAGTCTTGCTTCAGTAAACCCGGTTGTCTCACTCTCTAGCCAGGTACGACTCTGAATCAGCACGGTGGAAATCTAACGCAACGCCGTTGGCTCATTCCTTCTCGAAGGGAAATCTGCCCAATGTCTGCCCCTCCCCGGGCTGCATCGATTGTTGTGCCTGCTCCAGATCTCTCAGTCGATCGCGCATGACTTCCTCTGCCATCTCAGTTCCCATGCCCGAAAATCGGTTAGCATGAGGGTGTGTTGAGTGGTCATCGACCGGTGGAGCCGGCTGCATTGTCGTGTCGAGGAAATTCTGGTCGTAGCTCATCCCGTCCATCATCTTGGGGTCGGTGCTTCCTGCAGCAGCACTGGGGGTAATGCCACTCATAGGTGTGCTCTGCCCAGAGCCAAACATCGGTAGAGTGCCGGTTCGTGGAGTCCACGGAGCATTGACATTGGTGCTCTGTCGAGAAATAGAGGCACGAGTGTTGTAAGGGGTAGAGACGGGGCCGCTGACTGTGCTGCCTGCCCCTTCACCGAATCCGACCAGACTGGCCTTATCCTCGTCACTGAATCCACCGGTGCTCGAAACCCCGTCATCCGGGTCTTCGCTCATCTTATCCGCATCGTAATCGACACTACCACTCGCCCAAGTGGTTCGACCACCTACGCTGCCCGTTGCGCTGGCACTCCCAACAGTACTTCGTTCTTTGAATTGAGGCGCATAATCAAAGCCTTGACCATGGAAGGCGCCAGAGCCGGGCGCAAGGTGTCCTAACGGAGTAGGTCGAGATGTCGCAACTCTCTCCAGGCCGGCGAGGCGAGAGATGCGATCGGCTCGTTCGGCTTCAAGAGTATTTGCCGATGCGGCCGCTCCTCTGCCACCATGGCCGATTGATCCGTCTTTTATGGCGACAACAGATAATGCCGAGAGAGACGTGGTTGTGGAGTTGGGGGTGCCCGGTCCCATTTCGCTGGGCGTGGCAGGGTCTGAAGGAGGCGGAGGGACTATACGCCCGCACTATTAGTTTCGCCACAAGGCTGTTTGGCCACAGGGGGCTCAATTACATACGGTTGATTAGAGTAGGACCTCTGTTAGGCATGATTGCGACAGATCCGTCTTTGCACTGTGGATCGATACAGGAGCCGGCCCCGATTGCCTCGTAGTTTTTAACGCGTGTACAGCAAGTGAACGGAGCGGCTGCCGTTGGTATGAGAGTACTAGATATAATCAGGGTATCATTCTAGGAGCGCGATGTGGTCGAGTACGGTGTGGAATGAAACGCTAGGTGTGCTTGCGGCAGAGGGGGGGGCGGCTTTTGTTCTGAATACTTAGGTGCTATTGCGGGGGACAGGACGGCGGAGGAAGTCACCAGGAGGGCTTTCTCGGTGAAGATATTGTTGGCGACAGTGATAGACACAGGAGGATCGATCCTGGTGAATCTAAAGTGAAGATGAAAAGGGAGGGCTAGAGTCAAAGTTTAGGGCAGGATAGGAATTCGCAGGTTGCGCGATGCACAGACAAACTAGGCGTGGGCTTCAAGTTCCCCAGAAACGCATGCATGCACGTCGCAGAACTGGCAAGTTCCGGTTGGCTACGTCATTTAGATCTAGTCTCACGTGACGAGATTGCGCATAGCAATGCACGTGCCACAGTATCGGCTATGGAGTACCTATGTAAGGGGTACCAGCGAGAGGCGGCCTTCCTCAGAGCTATGGGAGCATTCAATGCTTATTGTGGCTATGACCATATCATACAAAGTGCGGTTCTTAGTCAATCGATATCATCTCTTCGTCACTGACCCGCCCCAGCTCTAGCAGCATCTACCTCGCGTTGCAGGGCAGCAAGGTCCGCCAAAATGTCTCTGGGGTCACTCTTGGGAGAACTTAAATCACTTCCTCCGCCATCTGCCACGTCCAGGTGCGCCATTGATGGCCTCGTAGTCTCCATACTACTTCGACTAGAGCCTCTTCCTCGCCGGGGAGGTGGTAGTGGAGGTGGTAGTCCCTGGCTCAGTCGCTTCGAGTAGGATGGGCTGGAATTGAGGCTCGGCCTTGTTTCCCCATCCACCAGGTTCGCGTCCTCCGCAATCGAGGCCACATCGAGTGATGGGCGGCGGTCGCCCGTCCCGTTGTTCCGTCGCGCTGGAGGTGGCGGCGGAGGTTTCGTTCCAGAGCTGGAAAAGGATGGGCTCGGAGGCCCGTCCGTCTCGCTGAAGACCGAATAGCGAGATGAGCTGCTTCTTGCCAGTACTGGTTTCTTTGGTGCTTGCTGGCTCTTCCGTCGAGTTAACGGAGGCGCTGGCGGCACCTTCTTCTGAGTATCAGACTGTCCGGCGCTGGCAAGTCGATCGCTACTAGGCGTTTCGTCAATTGAAGGCGACTTCAGACTCGGTGCTTCTGAGCTGACATTGCGGGTTCCGGGCAACGTCAGCGAATTGATAAAGCTGTCAAACTTGGCCGTTGGTCCTTGCTCTGTCTCCCGGTCCTTGAGGGATTTTCCACGCCTGCTCTTTGGCGGCGGGGGTTTCTCTCCCTTCTCCGAGATAGTTCCAAGCTGCGCTCGATATATGTTCGCCTCATTACCCTCTAGATCATCCGACGTTCGAGGACTTTCATCGTGCGCAATTTGTACAGTCTCGAATATCGAGCGTTGTGAGATAGACGCCGTGTCCGCACTGGAACCACTGTCACTTACAGGATTGGGACCTGATTGAACACTCTGCACCGCTGTATCGCGGGATGAAGAAGGGCCTCGATCTCCTGTTAGTAACATCCTCTTGAATGCGTCCACGTCTATCGTCGATTTCGAGGAGCTGCCAGGGTCTTTCCCAGCGACGGTCGATTGACCACTGACCGGTCGCCGTGGGATGCTTGCAAAACGCCCCAGCGTCTCTTTTACAGCATCTTGTTCGGAGACCTTCGTCGTAACTGATACAGGTGCAATTATCTCATTGTTCACTCTTGCGTTCTCCAATGCCTGCTCAATGGCATTATCATCCTCGTCGGAAGCTTCGGCCGCAAAAGGATCGCTCGCAAGCGCTTGGCTGTAGTCTGTCGGCGCGGGCAAAGGGGATTTCGGGCTCGAGAATGTAGATGGGAACTCCTGTCGCGTAGATTCAGGCGAAGGTGGATAGGAGACCGGCGAGATGGGAATGGCCGGAGGAGAAGCGAAGTTTACATGTTTCTGCGGGGGAATGTGGACTGCTTCAGCGATTCAGCAAGCCGCCAGCATGTTTGCGAGAATGAACTCAGCACACACATACCTCTGGTATCAAGAGAAAGAGCGCCAGGACTGGTGCCGCGAGGATCCGATGTGAGACTAGGAATAGGAGTGTTGCTTCCGCCAGAACCTTTCAATGAACTACTCTTACGGAAGGGATTTGTGGACATGAGGTCTCAACAACCATGTAACCCGCATGAGCGCTCATTGATGTGTGTTGGCCAGGGAGATTCTGGGGGAAATCAAAGAAATAGCGTCCTGCCAACGAGAATGAACTTTGGTCTTGCGAGGCCGACTGGCATCGGACTGGGCCCTTGGATAAGCAGAGGATGCGGAACCATGTGGCAGAACCGCCCGCAATTCGGGATTTCGTGGTTCCTGGTGCATATTATCGCGACACCCCCCAGTTACACTGTGAGCAAGCACCAGGCCACTTTTCCATCCAATGCACATCCATGCATATCTCGCAGCCGGCTGGATCCCACAAAAAATATTACCTCCCTCTCAGGGTCTGATGAGCTTGTCAATGTTTAGATGTGGACCATACCAGCTAAGAATTCCTTCGCCAGTCCAAACTTACAATTATGATTAACACCAGCCGACTAATGGCCGATCATATCTCTATCTATCAAGTACTTAGTCTTCCAGCTTAGCTCATGCTTTCCATAGCTTGATAAAAAGCTCATATCCAGCTGTCCAGTCTCTGGAAGTCCTCTGTCGTGTATGTATCAGTGTCTCGTCTTTCGTGGGGGAGAAACAAGGTCCCCTAGTCGTGATGGAAAATAAACAGTGGTCCCGTGATGTACAACTTCTCTTTCCAAGGAATGTCCTCTGTTCGACATCTGCGATAGCACTTCTGATTGAAGGCGGATACAAATGGTCGACAAGTTCGATAGAGCAGTGCCAGACTGACGCGAACAGGTCCTCCAAACTCCAAACTCCAAGGCTGATGCAAATAATCATGGTTTACGGTGAAAGTGCGGATTGCGTAAAGACTGTGGTTGGCGGTGGGTGAATCAGGTTCGAGCCTTGGTCTGCTTCCATCCATCTGCAGTCCATTGCCAGGTTTTCGCACCCTTGACAGGATGAAGTAGCATGGGGCGAACGACTGTACGGCCGTACACATCCTCCCATTCTTGACCACCGCTTTCGAGCGCTGTGATACCGAGGAGGCGTTGGAAAATCGGCATGGCTTGAGCAGAGCTGTAGTACCACGTCATGTTGGTCCACGCATGTTCGTTCCACTTGCTAAAGGTGCTATTCCAATAGCCTCCAGCCTGGCCAAAGGGTCCCCCGTTGAACGTTGATTGCAACGCCTCGGGAGTCCAAAATCGATCGGCAAAAATAGGGTGCGGGAATGTGGTGGATTTCAGCCCGTGGTGGAGACACATGGTCTGAGGGAACATCTCTGCGTCAATGTGATGCCCATTCTCTGCATTTTCATAATTCATGATTTCCAGAACGCGTCGACTGACTCTGCCTTGCGCAATGAGAGTGGCCCTCCTCGGTGTCGACGAGCCCTGGGCATAACCCCAGAGGTAGTTGCGGAACCACCAGCCAGTGCCAGTCACGTTAAAGCTTGGGAGAAAGCCAATCCAGTCAGCATCTTCACCGACACCCCATTCGAAATTATCTTCGTCCTCTTTTGGCGGCTTAGGACCACGAGGTTTGACCCCTTCGACGGACACCGGCCCCCACACATGGTGAGGATCTTCCTCTGTGGTTAAATTGCGGAAATCGGTGTCAAAGTCGCCATGGACGGAGGGGATATAGACTCTCCCTGCTCGTTCCCAGATGCCTTTTCGGGGTTGGTTGCGCCCAAAACTTTCCACTGCTTCGAAGAAGTCCAAGTAGTGGCCGGTATAGCGCACGTCGAACTCCCATTGATAAAAGAAATCGAACTCCGGGTGATTGCGAGCAAACCATTGGATGATCATCCAGGGCGATCGGCCAACAAAAGCATGTTCAGCGAGGTTTGAATACAAGCTGCGAATCTGAGCGTGGTTCCAGACCTCTGTCATGCTTCGAAACTCGGGTGGGATGTGCTTCTCGATCGTTGCTCTCGGCTCGTCCTCGCCAACAAAGAGTGGGATATGTTCGTCCTTGACATGGAGAAGAAGAAATACCTGATACTTCCCTCCGCTGGCCAAAGAAGCCTCTGCAATCATTGCGCGAATATTCATCACGGCGTCGGCAGTCCATTTTGCACCGGTCCAAACACGAATGAGAATCGCCGTGCGCTTAGCCTTGTTGACCATGCCGGGTTCTAGCGTCGAGGAGAGCGTTCTGGACGAAGATTTGTCATGTTTGTGTCGAAGATTGGAATATTGAATCGAGTTAGCAGGTCGCTCTTTAAGTGGCCGAAAACGGTGTCTGTTGACGACAGCACAGTCATCCTGTAATTCACCCCAGTCAACCACGTCCCAGTCGACGTCGCTCATCTTCTTCATTTCTTGGACATCAGCAGCATCCCACTGATCGAGGCCATACGCCTGAAAACGACCAACGCGATCAAAAGATACACTCCCATCCAAGCCAGACGCCTCATACGATCCAAGGCTAGGCTCGACGGCACCTAAATATTCCAGTCAGACATGTCCAGGCACCGTGAATCGCATATTCTCACCATTTGCTTGACCAGGATACGCCCAAACGGCGTCTTCATAGCTCTCGTTCAATGGCACACCACGCGGACCAACGCAGGATACGATGTGTTCCAAGGGTTCCTGAAAAGCTCGATAACCATCATAGCGAACAAGGAGAGGACTCGTCTTTTTGCAGTCGATTTCACCAGTCTCACAAGCGCGCAGATGTGACGTTCCACGCGTCAAACCGTCATGCCTAGTCAAATTAACACGGTCAGAGTACTGACAAAGACATTGATTGGCTGCCAAGGGCATGTGGTGACATACGTTGGAAAGTCTTTCCATATCCATTGCTCTTTCTTTGAGTTCTCCAGTGTCATTTCCATCAACTCATCCTCGGTTGGCGGTGGAGGTGGAGGCTCCGTGATCTCTGGGGTCTCTATGATTTCAGGGATATCTGGTCCTTGAGGAACTTCTGGTATTTCTGGTGCGGGTTCAGGCGGTGGAGCGGGAGGTGTTGCACTCATTATCTTGACGAACAAAATGAAGCCGGCAAACGTGGCGATTACTTTTAGCACCAGACGTAACCGGGGCATGCAAATCTGCCATCTTGAAGGCTTCTTCCAAAAGTCGCGGCTGGCGGGTGACCAACTGGGCGGAGGTGTCTCGGGCTCAACAGGGGAGTCTTCAAGCAGGCCCATCTCGGAGCGGCTGCCAGTGATGGTGAGTCTTCGGGTCATACGCTTCTTCCCGGTGCAATTCGAGAAAGGGAGCGACGACGTTGATGTGATGTGGTATGGTAACAGGCCTAAATGAGTGACTGAAGGTGAGGAGGCGCGTAGGTGCTGGAGTGAGCGTCGACGTTGATCGTGATAGAAGAGGATGCGGAGGAGATTGGGATGTTCGTAGGTGGACCGAGCGAAAGATTTGGGGGCGTCATGCAGATTGGGCAGTTGCTATCAAGGTTGAAAGGAGGAGGGAAGCGACCGGCGTGTAAGGAGGTTTGGCTGAGTCGACGGCGAGTGCAATAATGTACAGACAGGACACACGTGTGGATAGCAGGCACAGCCAACTCGACAAAGCGAATGAGTCGAAGCACACACGTATCGAGAACAGTATAACGGACACAGCGCAGACAAGGAGGAAACAACAGATCCCCAAAGGTGGGAATTCAGAGGAAAGATAGACAAGAGACAATACGGAGAATCCGTATGCCACTCTGGGGCAAAGTGGATATGGAAATTGAAGATGCATTGAGGCAAAGTAGACTAAAAAAACTACCTCTCTGACCCTGGTAGAGCCCGCCGGCTCCATCTGTCTTAGCATGCAACCTTCAAGCACCGTCCAAGTCTCAAATCAGCCATGGCGGCTGGACCACCCTGCAAACAGTGTCCAGGGCACAGAGACGATTGGCCTTTGACCCGAGACGCGGGTGGTGGGACGTTTGCACGCAATCAAGGCTACGGGCCACGAATTGGGCGGGTCTGGCTTCCCTCTGTCCAGCTCTTCATCCCTTTGTGTACTCTATCTAGACGAGATACTCGGTGTCTGGAACCAGTATTGATGCATCCTGTCTCTTTGACCTGTCTCAGTTAAATCGCGTCCGGTAGATTTGAGGAGGAAGTTAAGGGATTTGGACGTAGGATCGCAATCGATGAACGGCCAGACCGGGGGGTCCTGGAATCAAGCTTAGCTCCAGGATCAGGTCAAGCTTTTTGAGATGGATGTCCGAGCTGCAGGCTCAGATCCCATGTGTAACCAGCAACTGAATGGCGCCGGACAGACGACGTGCATTCAACGGGCGGGCTGATATGTGAGGGTAGAGAAAGACAGATATCAATGGCGCCATCTAGTGCTTTGATGATGATTTGATGATGCGATGATTCCGTGAACGAGCCAGTCAAGAGCTTGTGAGTGTATGCAGCCAGGATACAACATCCGTTGTAGGGTTTTAGATCTGGTAGGTAGGTAGGTAGGTAGGTACATTCTTCAGAGGACGCGCAAGCTTTTTTCCTCTCTCCCACCTGCACAGAGTAAATCCTTCCACTTCATTCAAACTCGACTCGACTTACCACAGTACAACTTTTTCTTGTTGAGGTATTGACGTCACTGATTGGATTCTCTTCCCCACCAACCAAAATGTCCAACCCCTAATGCGGGTCTGTCTCGAAGGGTTGATTCACACTCAGAGAACGAAGAGACAACAGTGTCCTCTCTTTTTTGTCTCTTGGTCTCCTCCTATAAGCTACCCTGTAATCCGGACTTTATACGAGTAAGCTTGATACAACAACTGTCTTGTGGATTGCCTACGCCGAGTACCCCGTACTCTACGAGGTGCAACCCACACCACCCTACCTGCGTGCCTGGGTACTGATGACATTCCCCAATGAGAGAGATGGGACCCAAGGTCCCGCTGTGCCCGCTTTGCCTATTCCTCAAACATAGCCATCCAACAAAATCCCCATCTGCTTTGTATGAGCAGTCCCAGAATTCCCCATCTTACGTGTTTGATCTACAATCCCAGAGTGTTCCCACCCGTTTCAGAATTCCTTCAGGAATTTTGAAAACTTCTTTTCTGGACACGCCAGTTTTCCACCCAGCCACCCTACATTATTGCGGAACATAACTGCACGACTTACATCCGCCCCAAGTCATCGCCACGACCATCATTACTATTCTCATTAGCAAAAAAAGCGGCGTCGGGCCTTGCATACACAGAACCCCACTATCCACATCGCTGAAACCTGCATGTGTGAGCAAGAAATTGTCGGTGGAAAGCAAAACTCAGCTCCGATAAGGCAAGTGATCCCACCAATCTTCTTTTCCATTGTTAACATGCCAGTGCATGTCAACTCTCATCTTGCAGCCCGCGGAGTCCGCAATCTACGAGTAGTAAAGCTGTCGACCTCATTCTACCATTCGTACTCCGGCCCGACCAACTTACAGAGTTCGTCCTGCTCAGCCGCCTCGCTCTGCGCCTTGGGAACTGAAAAATCGATATTTTTACCTTCTGCTTTCTCCGCCTCGGCGTGTCCCACTAGCACAGTCCGTACCTTGTCAAGATACCATTTGACCGCGTGTTCTGTTATCAAAAGGCGGGGCTTCATCAGCTGCTGGATACATTTTCCGGCACGGATCGTCAAAACTCTGGTATACATACCTTCAATCGAGTGCAGTCTGCCTAACCCCAGAACCCCAGATTGGAACCCTTTCTGGGCGTTAATGGCCAATTCAACGTCCTCAGTCTCGACGAATCGCCAATATCCAATGTCATGTTCCATCCAATGGTCGTACTCCGCACTAGGTTTCTGCATACTCGACCTCCGATAGGTTTCGCTTTGATACGATGTCTCAAGTGCTCCCGTTGCGTTAAAGCGAGCAATGAACAAGAGGTTATCACTAAATATGATGGCACCGATCGGGAACAACCAGGCTAGAAGGACAAGTTAGGCATGGCCTCAGTGTGACTGGTCCTTCCCTCCGGGGATCATAGGACCGACTTACTGATATATGCTTCTGATAAACCTTCTTTCTTGGGAGGCAGGAAATGCCGAGATGCTCCTATTCCTTGCCGCAGGTAATACTGGTCTAGTGCAAAGTCCTTGGGCAGAGTTGTTGGATGGCCTGTCTGGCAGTGGTAGCATTCCTGACACCGTGTTACCGAAGTCCACTGGAGGGCAGCACGGAGCAAGAGACACCAACCTGGAATCCATCCGCGAAAGTTTTCCAGTTGAACTCGGTTCCCGCCACAGAACTCTTCCAGGTATGATCATACTCCCATCCGTCGTTGGGAAAGAGCGCAAACTCGTCACCAATCTCCTTTCCTGTCTTTGTCGTGGGCGCTGGATCGAAGTCGTCACCAAATTGCTCCTCGAAACTCACCGCAGGAGTCTCCCTTGCATCGAAGTTCACAAAGATGAATCCCTGGGCGGTCACATGGGTGTGGATCTTGAAAAGCGAATTTTGCTTGGGATCAAAGTCTGGAAGATTGCTGTACTCTCGAGCTTTGTGTAAGTCTCCGGTGGGAAGATACGACCAGCCGTGAAATCGACATGCCAGGACCGTGCTGGATCCGCTGGACTTCTGGGTGACCGGGTGGCCTCGATGCCGGCAGATGTTGTGGAATGCGTTGATATTCCCGTCTTTGTCTCGGATAAGGAAGAAGTTCCATCCAAACATCTCCAAACGTTCTTCAGCTTGGAGAACAATTGACTGATGGGGTATCTCAAAGCCATACCTCGAGTGTCAGGTAATCCCCTGCTTTCTGAAAGCGCGCCTTGAAACTCGCCACGTGCCACAGCTACATTAAGGCCAAGTTAGATCTGTTATTGATCCGGGTTGGCGACCACAATGCAAGTGGTGTCTCGACGCGAGTCCAGTACTAGAAGTCACACAAGCCTTACCGTGGAAAACAACGCGCGCCGCTCGAGCTGGAAGATCTTCTCGTCGCGATACCATCTGGTGTGTTGTCGGTCAGCAGTCTGATCATAGCGTGTGGCTGTGCTCATATCGTCCCAGGTAAACGGAATCAACACGCGCAGGGAGGTGCTGTGGCGCCAGCTCCAGCTGCATACCTGGAAGGTGCCAAACTCAACGTCTTCCTCCCCAAGTCGACCGGGCGGAGGTTCTTCTCTCGCCCCTTTTGGAGGTACCCGCCATTGGCAAGGAAGTTTGTGCTGTCAACGGTTGTCATGGTCTGGTAGGTGCGTATACGATCTGTCCTAAATGTCACCCTCGCTTCGACCGCCTTTCTTGTTATCCCTTGGACACGAGATGCGCTCAACCGGGGGGGGGTCCGGTGCAATGGATGTCCGCAAAGAACAAGTACTAGTGGCACAGCGCGCGTGCTTTGGAGTGTCTCGCTTCTCCAGGATGCCAGAACCAGACACAACAATGAACGAGGGTCCAACCTATCTATCTAAATCGGGTCGGGAGTGAAGGTGTTTATTATACCTCCACGCTCCTGAGATTTCTTGTCATTCATTGATAAGACCCAAAGCCGATTTCCCATTTATCATCCTTCGTAGAATTTACACCAATGCGAATCTATCTGTCACTTGGCCCTCCCCGTCCATTAACTGCCCCTCTCATTACCCACGGAGAAGGCCGTCTGGGAAACAAAGCGAGGGTTGTTTTGCTGGATCCGGACAAGGTCGAACGAAGATCGAGTGAGGCGCTGTCCTCCACCTTTTTCTCCCCTCCCAACGCAACGGGGCTACTCTGGTCTAGCGCAGAAACCAATTAGACGCGAGGGAATTGAAATGAAAATGATAGGGTGTGATACCGAATCACTGGGCATGATGGTAGTCCCTGGTTCTCTCACTCACTCTGTTGGTACATACATCATACATACATGCACACATACTACATACGTATCAAAGGTACCTGGCAAGCCTGGGTACATCCATCTCGGATATGTCCCCCTCTTCTTTCCGCGCTCTCTCGTGTCCTCTTCTTCGTCTGCCGACTACTACTCACTCTAATCGGAACTTGTAGAGAGTTTCGCACAAAGTAATTCGAATTAATACCATCTCAAATCGCCCCAATGCCCAAATGTGTAGCTGAACCAACTTTCTCCGGAGGGACCCCCACCACCCACAACCACAATGGATGGATTGACAGTATCATGCTCAGCTTAGAATCGACCAGACTGATCGCGCCGGCCGCCTCCGTAGCGGGGACCCGTGTCTGGTTCTGGAACCGGCACTGGGCTTCTGTTTCGTCGCCCGTTCGTTTTCGGCACTGGGTGAGATCGGCGAGACGGGCGAGAGCGACGACGTCGATGGTCGGCCTGCCGCGGTGGCGGCGTTGGTCGTCGAGGTGATCAGACTGTGCAGGAACAGGCTGTCCCCGCTGCTGCGGATGCTTGTGGCGCGGGAAGAAGGGGAGGACGACGACGATCGGGATGTCGCTGCCGTTGAAGCAGCCAGGAGCGAGCTGGAGGCTGAGGTCGAGGACGAGGAAGAGGATACCTGTCGACGATGGCCACTGTGACGACTCTCTTTGTTCGTCGTGTTGGTGGGGACTAACCCACCCAGTACTCTCGGCTGTTGCATCGCGCTCGTGGATGAACTCTCCCCCATCCCCGCCCGGGTGCTGGAATGTTGGTCGAGGTAGATAGCCGGCACTTTGGGCACTGGCGGTGTCGGTGGTCGAGTGTTCACGTAGTGCTCTGGTGCGTCCCAGCCCTCTGAATGTGCTTGTAACCGCCGTCTCCCAGCTTGTAGAGGGGCTGGAATTGAAGCCGGAACTTCAGCATGGTCCTTGGGCGATGTCGAGTTTGCTCTACGGTGCAGAGCACCCGACATTGCCATCGGGACTAGGTCGGTTGTCGTTGCAAATCTCATGGGTGCAGCGTGTGTACGAGGTTGGCGGTTGAGTCCATGACTCCGAGCTGGCGGAGAGCGCGGCGTCGTGGCAGGGTCAGCGTTTTCCGGGGCGTTGTCACCGGTCATCCACGCAAAGGCGGTGTTGGCTGTGAGGTGTGGTTTCTCGTCGTTCGGCTCTGGAGTGGTAGCTGATACATCTAGACTGTTCAACAAGTGCTGGGACGTCGCTGCAAGCTCGAACAGAGAGCGTGCTGGTGATGCACTGCTTGCCGGCGACGGTGACAGCACCTCTTTCCACGGCTCCTGTCTGCTCTCCTGAAGAGGCGCATTGTCAAGGCGAGGCGACGAGTCGATCCCACGTGCTTTGCGCTGCACGTTTGTTAGATATGGCCCAACTGCTGTGGCCGTTTCCTTGGTCAAGCCAACCGGCTCCTGACCAGCATTCAGGGCCTCGAGCATCAACCGCCGATTTTCGTCTACCATGTTTTGACGTCTCTCTGAGAGGAAGCCAAACCATGCGCGATCTGCTGCGACACTTACCAGCAAAGGCTCGAAATCCACTCGGGATTTGTGCTCAAGTCTGGCCAGCTTGCTCTCATTAGACAGTGTCAGGCCTTGGAGTTCCATTGTGGCATTCATTTGCAGGGCGTCTAGTTCGGATTGATGCTTCGAGAGCATTTCTTGTTGTTTCTCTTCGCGCTGCCTCTGGAATCGTTCCTGAAGACGGCGTTCTCGTGCTTCCTTGTCCTGCTTCCCGCGGAGGTGCAGCTTAATTTCCAAGAACATGTCGTCTTCCAGCTCTTGCTGCTCAGTGTCAAAAGTTCTCACCTCCATATCGTGTCTTTCCTTGACGCTGGTGGTCCTCTTCGCAATATTGGATTCCATCTTTGCCAATATCTCGCTATTCTCTTCCTGTTGTCGCGCCCGTGCCTCGTCACGGAGAAGCATATATTGTTGTTCGGCGTTCAAGTGTCTGTTGTCCAGGGTCTTCTTCTGTGTTTGCAGAATACCGTTCCATGCAGTCTGGATTTTATCACATGTTTCCTCGACCGAGAGTTTGAGAATCCGTCGCAATTCTTGGGCCATTCGTTCTTCTTCAGCTCGCCTATTGGCCTCCTCTTGCAGGCGCTGCTCCTCAAGCCTCGCAAGTTCAGCCTCTTCTCTGCGCCGCTCTTCTTCTTGTCTCTGTTCTTCTCTTCGACGTTCCTCGGCCTGAAGTCGCTCCACCTCCTCGACTTGAGCGATTATTCGATTGATCTCCGCAGCTTCGGCATCCGCTATCTCGGCCCTTTCATCTCTAAGGCGTCTCAACTCTTCTTGACGGTTGTTGTCGTCCGCCTCGGTGCAAGCGCAACTCCGCCACTTTGCGCCACAAGAGTAACAGAACTGCGCACCACATTTACAGGTCATGTGTCGGCAACCTTGCGAGCGCTGGTAATCGTTAGCCCGATTCTATAACTTAAATAAATACAACATTACCTCGACCATGGTGCGGCACTTGAAACAACGTCGCCAGCCTTGCAGTTCAGCGAGCACCATCGTGGCCTCGAGACCGAAGTCTTGAGGACAATCTGCAGAATCTCGATGAGCCAAGCCGCGACATATACTGCAAATCTTGGTTGCACAATGGGGACATCTCATGTTCAATATGCGGATGCGTTGTAGCTTTGAGGGTGGGATCCATTTCAAGCATTTTGTGTTCGGGCAATACCATCTTTCTTGAGGTGCAATGGCATATTCAGCAACCTTCTCTTTATATAACTCCCTGTGTTTAGCGTCGAGTGACAACAAAACCGTCTGCAATGGAATCTCTGTCAAGCAACATTTGGGCGGAAAGCTAGATTCGTTTTGGAGGGCGGTTGTGATCAGGGTCGTCAAGCAGGACTTGCAATATGAGTGGTTGCAAGGAAGTTTCCTCGTCTCGTCCTCGGAAGCCTCTTCAAAGCAACTTGTGCATTCAACCTGAGTCGCAGACTTTGACAGTGTCTTTGCACTGGCAGAAGCCTGCAATGACTCCCTGTCCGCTTTGCCCTTGAGGGTAGTGATAAGGCCCAGCGTAGACCCAAGAACTCCGCCTCCAAGGTATCGTGCTCTCAGTCGACTTCTCTCAGAACGGCGCTCGGACTGTGTGCTTCGAGATTCAGATGTGTCGTCGTTGTCAAATCCCTCAGCGGCCACAGAGCGACCATTCGATTCTGTAATCGTCTGATGAGGATTGTAATCGTCTTGTTCATGGACAGAGTCTCGAACATTAAACCCTTCCGTCGGTTGAACAGTTTGCCTCTCATTGCTTGGTGGCGGTGGAGGGAGGTCAGGGGACAATGACCAAGCAAGAATTTGTTTGAGCTTTTCAGGCAAGTTCGAGTCGTCTTCATCTCCCCGTAGCTCCGGTGGTATATTCTGTACTGTCCAGTCGTTGCTGGGCCGACTATTGAAGTCGACATCCTTAAAAGCTTCCCAAGTCTCGTCTGGGAGACGCTCCTCATTGCTGGAGGCTTCGGCGACCTTTTGTGACATTGAGACGTACAGATAGACAATGTAGCAGGTTAGAAGGGATAAAATCAAAGAAGTCAGGGAAACAAAAGTCATTGAATACTATGAATGGGAAGCTGCATCGCCCCGCTTGGGTCGTGACATGGAAATGAGTATGAGGTTTGCTATCTTGGGGGAAATGGCGCGCCAGGGCTTGGGAGACAAACGCACAACAACCAGCCCATGGCAACGGTGAAACGAAGGCTTAAAACATGAGTCAACCCCAAGGTGAACTGTTCCTCGGCTGGTACGGCTTGAGACGAGTCCCAAGTATGCCTGGTGGGAGGAGAGAGGCTCTTGGTGGAGGCATTGGTGGTATCCTCATGACAGCCGTGCTGCCTACCCATGCGCGCCATGCCGTAGCAAGAACGCTATACAAAGTGCGCGGGCCGACTGTTCGAGTATTCTCAGTCGGGGTGGAGCTGCGCCGCCGTCTGTGGTCGTCAGGTGCACAGCTGGGAGCAAATTCGCCAATCAGCCTGACGAAGGGAGCTTCGTGCCGTCTTGTTTGCCAGAACAACAGACGCCTTGAAAGGCGCCGTAGCGAGGCCCAGAAGTCAAGGTGGGAAAGCAGGCGTCTGCCCAGCTTCCAAGAGAGTATTGAGGGAACATCTGTCTCGGTATCACGAGGTGATTGGTCTCTGTGTGAACGACAAGCTCTGGGCTGAGCCATATAGGGAGGCGTGCTTGAGAATGGTGGTGGATTGGGTAGTCTGAAGCCCCCAAATCTCAGTTTCTAGAAGGTGGATTTGGCCCCCTTTGCCAAGTCAGGCAGGGCTGTGCGATTAGCCCGCAGTTTGCCGACAAGGCTGACACTAACAGTGCCAGACGGAATCAGACCATTCGATGAAGTCACAGTTTTGAATGTCGGTTTCGGGTCAACGGCTTAGACAGAGCAGGCGGGGAATGGGACAACGTGCGGTGGTACTAGTGGCTCTGTCATGAGCCTCATAGCCGGCAGTCACAGGCTGTACATGAAGCTTTTTGAACCGAGCCCCTTGCGCAAGTACGAGTAACCATGGAGAAGCAAAGCTGGGAATCTGAAGACAGTGGATGCAACTCTGAAATGAATTCATTCGGCCCTTATCGGTCGTTGTGAGCCATGTTGTAAAACATTCACAATGAGGCAGGCCAGCTCGATGATCAGTCAGTCCGACCACTGAGTTTTGCACCATCCGAGGCTCCGGGATGAGTCTGGGCATACGACCACCCTCGCAGTGAGGGGGACTACCATCTTCGCGAGTAAAGGGTGACTTGGGGTTCTTTTAGCGATTCCCAATCCCGTCTGCAAACTTTTAGTCCTCTTCCTCCTCGTCGCCCTCCACAGCAGTCTGGGCAATGCGATCCAGATCTCGTGCACCGGCTTGTGTTATTCTTCGTCCGCCCTTTCCGCTGCCACCTTCTTCGTCCTCATCAACCTTCTCCAAAATGCCCAACTCCTCGAGAGCCTGCATCACTTTGCGGTCGACAGCGCCAGATGCGTTGACGTGGTGTGATGGTCGAGAACCGCGATTCTTCGTGCTGCCGTGAACTTTTCGGAGACGGCCAACACCAACGGACTTTCTTAGGTAGACATGTCGGGCAACTGAGGCAGCTCTGACGTAGAACCAGTCGGCGGATTGCGGAGGCAGTTCGTTTGAGTGTGAGGTCTTGACGGTGTCGACCCAACCTGTAAAGCATGAATTATCAGTATCTTCCTCCAGAAAATATTTTGCAGCGAGATGATTCGTCTTTCCAAGCACCCAATCCAGCTCCAGGAGAGTAGGTGGTAAAGAGCTGGAGCAGAGCCGTACCTGGCACTCGGAGTTTCCCTTGTCGCTTCAAAAATGCTGCATATGCCTCGATGAATTTTTGTGCCTGCGTCACCCGCATCGTCAGTCCATACTTCTTTCACTGAAATCCCACGTTCAAAAGCGCAAGGTCGTAGTGAGAATTGCGTCTCTTTCCCACAACAACGAATTGGACTTCCTTGCGAGCAAGTTATTCGGGTCGCACTCACATCGACATCTCGAACGGTAACGCCACCCATGATTGCAAACGTCGAGACGGGCGTCTCAGCAATCACAATTATGGATTGAGGAAAGGTGGTCGCTATGAATTGGTGGAGAGGTTGTCGTTTGGTATCGTCGTCAAAATCCTGGAAGTTCGCAGCACTTGGCACCGAAAAAGTTGTGTGGTGAAAATTTGCCAAGCATTTCATACTTATCTTGGCATGTTTGCTATGAGGGGCGATTGCGCAACACGTTGCTCTACATTTACAAGTACTTTAGGCACCATCTATCACATAACATTCCGAGCCAGACCAATACTGTATTGACGCCTTCTGACACAAACCAGCGTTTCTGTGCCTGCTCCGCTGGATAAACTCGCCGGCCTTGACATTGGAAGAACCGAGGAAAGAAGACGTCTCCTTCGTCAAGCACTGCTCATCTTCCAGTCGCTCCAAGCAATATTTGTCCACAAGATGTCATCGCTTTCGTAGGGTCACAAGGCGAGGTTGAAAGGGCCTTTACAGAGTTGAAGCTGTCGTGGCACAGGCGATGGCCCCAACATGTAACAAGGATCTCCTGGACAAGATGTCGTCAGCGAAGGTATCCTTCCACCTGTGTCTGCCACTTACAAAAAGTTCAATTGCGCCCACCACTGGATGAGATCGTGAGTCTGATAGCTCTCGACTGTCCCTTGCTGCGCCTGTGCTTTGGAGTCATCCTCTTCATCTCTTGTTGCTGCATCCGCTCGGCGATGTAGCTCGTCGTTTGTCCGTTTCATAACCCCAAATGTGAAGGGCACAATAGCTACCGAGAGACCGCTTGCAGCCCAGAGTAGTTGCCGCTGGAGCCCAGCTTCTGGTGGCAGGTGCTTCGCCGCGTATAGCCAACATCCACTGGCAAGCAGGGCGAAGAATGGGCCTGCTTTCTTTCCAATATTATAAGCTGCCTGCCACTGCCGGGCGAGGTGTCCAAGCTTTGTCGCTGGTCTCTGGGAAGAAGCGGATGTTGGAGAGTTTGTATTTTCAGAGTTTGCTGGGACTGGCAAGGCTGGTTTGGGGGATGGTAACAGCAGAAGCGGGACGGTCAAAAATGAGATGCTAAGGTTGGCGCCGAAGAATATGGCCGAAGATGTTATCCCAAGAGCCGTTCCGAGGACAACAGTGTTGGGTTTCGACGACATGCTGAGGGACGCTGGGTTTTCACCAAGCTATAATGATCAAGAGCCTGATGTCTAAGACTGCTGCTTGTGTGAGGCTTGCTCGATGATTACGATTTCTGTTCCTGCGATAAACTTGGGATGGTGTCTCGTAGCGATGCTATGAAAGATTCCGTTATAACAGCATTGAGCAATATTTGTCCATGTGAGGTCATGAGAGAGTGAGGAGTAGCTGGGATGTTCAGATCGTAGCTATCACATGTTACGGGGCATTTCTCGTACCTCGTACGGTGATATTCGTACGTCTCTCGCTGTCTACCGTACATCCTTAGTTCGCCTGTTGTGGATCTGGGCGTGGACTGTCTCTCCCTTGGTTTAAAAGGAGTTAAGGACCAGGCAAACTGGAGGTCCAAGGCTGTTCTCGTCTGTAGATGTGCATTCCTACATACATACATCATACATCCAGAACGTGGTACTTGGTGGGGAGTGAGTGCATGGTGGATCTCCATCAGCGTCTGAGAAATATCGAAACTCCTTCTCAGTGCTCGTGACGCATTGGAAACCCACCTGCAACTCGCCTAAATTTAGTATCTGCGCAGACAAAAGCAGACGCCCAAACGCCCTACTACTTGTGGTTGTGGTTGTACCCCGCAGGCCATCGTCACTTGTGCCCCCAAACCTTGGGCGAGTCGCTCAGGTCGCTCAGGCTAGTAAACTCGTTTCACGCTCTTGTCCTCGCCTACGAATACTCCAAGAGAGCGCCTAGACTGTTCTCGACCTTGGCAGGCACAGACTACCGAGTACACAGCCCGTCTCTCGACTAACTTGGGGAAGCACCTCGCACGCTGCAGGAGACCTGGGGCTGAGGTAGTACCACAGTACCTAAACCCCCCATCACAGTACAGAATGCGTCGTTGCGATCCAAGGCACGCCCAGGTGGCCTTCTGCTTTGACTTTATGACGTGCGTAGTGGCACTGATGTTTCGACTTTCGCATTGATGTTACATACCCATCGACAATGCAGCGCAGCCTATACTCCGATGGGGAAGCGGGAGAAATAGAGGTTCGCCTTTTCCTGCCGGAATCTGCTGCTTCCTACGAGGACGATCCCCGGGGTCGGACTGATCACAGTGTCACTCTTGCACAGTCTGCTCTCCGAAAATCCTCAAGTCCGCTCCAGAGAAGTCACTGAGATGCATGGATGGCGTTGCTGCCGCAGTCCTATGCCGCAGGCACAATGGCGGCAACCCTTAATATCACAGCCAACCAAGCATACCTCCCGATGAATACTCCCTAAATATTCCCTACACAAAGATATCTATTCATGCACTGGTGGTAGTCAAGGATGCGGATTGACAGTGATTCTACTGTATATCATACCCCGGATGTCGTCGACATGGAGAGGTTCGCCACAAGGTGGAATTGTATCCTTTGAAGTTTCATCGTCTCGAGGACGACGAGTGCGGTTTTGCTCGTCCTGCATCATGTTTTGGCATGAGATTTCACTAGAGGATGGACACCGTTCGTGCTATGGCCTGGAAATCGAGTGTGGACGTCGCGAATGGATCATGCCAGGCCGCGCCGCACCAGCTTCCAGGGAAGTGACCTGACACCCGAAGAACATGGCTGTTTTCGGCTTATTGGAGTTGCATACATCGAAGTCTTGGTGGACAGTTTGGGTCAGTCGTGACGGAGGCCGAGAAGATGGAAGAAACCACCTTGGTGTGAGTATTTAGGATAATTTCCAGGCGAAATCTGGGGAACGTTGCATGGATGGACATGAGAAGGTTTGCAACAAGGTTGCCTGGTTTCTATAACGAGGTCCAAAGTTTTTCTCCTGGGACTGCAGTCGGGAGTGGTTACCCGTTAGGTACAAATACGAAGTCCATGGTCGAGAGAAAGGCCATTGGCTTAGTGGCTTACTGTCTCCCCTCGCATAGCTAACCGTTTCAGTCCATTATCGCTACAACACTCACATTGGTTGCACAGCCCCCTCAACAAGGCAGAAACCCCCAACTGGTCATCTCCTGCCCTCGCATTGACGAACCCAAGCCTCTTCTTCAAGGCGTCACGAGAAGAATGATCAATAGCCTCATGTTCCTATCGAGGATATATAGCAATGTTGTTCCATTGCCCCAGCACCATCTGCGTCAAACGGCAAGGCTATAAGGCACACCACCACACTTCCTCACAACCATCCAATTCACACTGGTCACTGAACTACTGAGAAGGATACCATTACCACGAAGAAATCCTACAAATCACATCTCTCACCATGGGCGTCTCAGCATTCGAGATACTGGACATCCTCGAACTCATCTACTTCACCCCAGCTCTGATAGCTTCGGCCTATATCGTCTACAAGCATGGCCATCACAAACGACTCGGCTGGAGGTTTCTCGTCATGATCTGTCTATTCCGACTGATCGGCGCAATCACCTCTCTTATCGATGTCAAGCATCCATCCAGCGGCTTGACCATCACGTACGATGTCATGACCAGCTTTGGCCTGTCAGCAATTCTCTCCACAGCCTTGGCTCTCCTGGATCGTGTCGAGGACAGCATGGCACCACACGGTCTGCCCCATCGGGTATTCCAGCTCCTTCACCTCCCCAGTCTTGTTGGTCTCATCCTCAGCGTCGTCGCTAGCACGAATCTTTTCAGCGACAGCCAATCTAATGTCTCGGATGGCTTCACCGAACTCAAAGCCGCGGTCTGTCTGTTCTTGGTTGTTCTGGTCGCCGATTTCCTCATCACAGGACATTGCTTTTTGAAGATCGGTCATGTCCAGCCGGGCGAACGAGGCCTTTTATTCGCGGTTGCCTTGGCTCTGCCCTTTATGGCGGTCCGCATGGCCTTCTCTCTTCTGTGCGTCTTCGCCAACAATCCCAAATGGTTCAGCTCCTGGAGCTTGGAGTGGTCTGCCATCCTTGTTCACGGCATCTTGGGAGTTCTGATGGAGGCCATCATTGTCACGATATTCATCGTGGCTGGTTTCACCACAAAACCTGCGGTCCTACCGCCGGCCCACGAAGGCAAAGTAAATTACAACCTGGGTGCTCGGAGTGTGTAAAGGAGCGTTGTATAAGTCAGGGTGGACAGTTACCCGAAAAGTCTGAGTCGCAGGATGCTCCTTCAAGGAGCTGGTTTGTCATTTGAAGCGTTTTGCATGGTGTCAGGGTGTTAAGGATACAGTGTAGTTCAGGACTCTGTCATTCATCTCTAGCTTGCAGTTAGTTGCCGCAAGGAATGTAACAACACAATACCTTATTCGACGAGACCCGATCTCATCAATGCCCCAAAAGCGTGTGGCGATGGAAGAAAGAGCATGAAGGGTGAAGTGAATGGCGCCTTGAAGCGGGCATTTGGACAAGGTGGCCGCCGATTGGGCAATCTGGCAAACTACGCCGAGTGCCGCAGAGGAACCAGATTTCCACCACATCTGAGGACAAGTTGTCTGCTCAGCATCCACCATTTGGCTAGACACATCTCAACTTGAAGAGCTCTTCCTCCCTCCCTCTGACCAAGCTGTCCGTACATTCTCCTCGTTTCTGAACCGGTATGGACGTCACCCTGTACCGATCAAGTCAATAAAAACCCTCGCACATTATCGGCATATCTCCCTCTCAGTGCCCTCCCTCCGCACTGTACGTCCCCTCTACGCCACAGACGAACCTACGCTCCTTCGTCGATTCCTTCACGTCTGGACCGAGAATTGCATGAACGAGCTTCGAGGGTAGTGATTGAAGATGTCGCAACAATTCCCCCAGCAATATCCTCAGCAAGGCGTGCCTGGACAGGATGGCTTCGGTCAGCAGCCACCGCAACCACCTGCGGGTCAAAATTATGAAAACTACGAAACAAACAATCCGCCGGGGGTGCAACCAGCGCCTGCTCCTGGTCCGGCTCATGCTGGCAGGAAGAAGCGCGCCTATGCGGGACAAGCCTACGAGTTCGGTGCCGGCGCGAATGCTGCCCTAGGAGGACAACAACCCGCAGGCGGCGCTGCATACTCTGGGTATTCCGTCCAACAAGATGCAGCAGGCTATCCGCAAGGAGGGTATCAACAGAACCCTGCAGCAGTGCAACAGACTGCAGCTCCTCTATATCCTGGCCAGGAGCCATCAGCTGCATTGGGAGGTTATCAACCTCCCGCGCCGGCCTACCCTGCCCCAGGCGGTGTGGCGGGCATGACACAACAGTTTGGCGAGATGGACATCTCTCAGAAGCCACCGATCGCCGCTGCACCACAGCAGGCACAACGTGCTCCGGTTTTGAACCAGCTTTACCCGACCGATCTCTCGAACCAGCCGTTCAACGTGGCGGAATTGGACTTTCCACCTCCGCCAGTCATTCTTCCCCCTAACGTATGGACTTGAATTGCTCCCTTATTCCTGTGTCAGAAGCTAAACATTTCATAGACCAGCGTTACACCCTCACCCTTTGCGAACTGTCCTCCAAAATTTGTCCGATCGACGCTGAACGCCGTTCCCACCACTCATTCCCTCCTCAAAAAGTCGAAACTCCCATTCGCCCTTGTCATTCAACCATACACATCCCTACACGACGTTGAAGATCCTATACCAGTAGTGCCAGATCAGGTCATCTCCCGTTGCAGAAGATGTCGGTCGTACATCAATCCGTTCGTCACTTTCCTGGACCACGGGCATCGATGGAGATGTAATATGTGCAACCTGACCAACGACGTGCCGCAAGCGTTTGACTGGGATGCAGCGGCCCAGAAAAGTCTCGACAGGTGGCAGAGACCAGATCTAAATCATGCGGTGGTTGAGTTCATTGCGCCACAGGAATACATGGTTCGGCCTCCACAACCACTTGTTTATCTATTCTTGCTCGACGTCAGTTATGCGGCAGTGTCGAGTGGACTCCTGGCAACAACGGCCAGGTGTATTCGAGAGAGCTTGGATCGGATACCGAATGCGGATCGACGCACGCGCCTGGGCTTCATCGCGGTCGACTCCAGTTTGCACTTCTTCAATATCCCTCGGGATGGAACTGAGAATGCCCAAACAAGCATGCTAGTGGTTAGCGACCTTGAAGAGGCATTCTTGCCCACTCCTGCTGATTTACTGGTGACTCTGACCGAATGCCGGGAAAATATCGAAAATTTCCTGGATAAGCTTCAAGAAATGTTCCAGAATACCCAGAATGGCGCATCCGCCATGGGATCTGCCCTTCGTGCTGGGCACAAGCTTATCGGACCAGTTGGTGGGAAAATGACTGTCGTTACTGCTTCACTTCCCAACATTGGCCACGGTAAACTCGAAATGCGCGAGGATAAGAAACTACTCGGCACGTCAAAGGAAAGCAGCCTGCTCCAGACGGGTAACAGCTTCTACAAGAGCTTTGCCGTCGAATGTTCGAAACAACAAATCTCAGTGGATATGTTCCTATTCTCCTCACAGTACCAGGACGTGGCGTCTCTGAGCAATTTACCAAGATACACCGGGGGGCAGACCTACTTCTATCCTGGCTGGAATGCTGCCAGAGAAGAAGATGCCATGAAGTTCGCCAAAGAGTTCTCCGACTACCTGTCCGCAGAGATCGGTCTGGAGGCTGTTCTACGTGTTCGTGCGACGACAGGGTTGCGGATGAGCACCTTCTATGGCAATTTCTTCAACCGCAGCTCGGATCTGTGTGCATTCCCAGCATTCCCACGAGATCAAAGTTACGTTGTGGAAGTTGCAATCGACGAGACCATCACGAAGCCAGTTGTGTGTTTGCAGTCCGCTGTCCTTCACACCACGTGTAATGGTGAACGACGAATTCGAGTCTTGACGCTCGCACTACCCACAACCCAGCAACTGGCGGATGTGTACGCATCGGCTGATCAGCAAGCTATCACAGAGTATTTCAGCCACAAGGCCGTCGAACGTGTCCTCAACAGCGGGCTTGACAGCGCTCGGGACATGATTCAGAACAAACTGGTCGAGCTTCTGGCCACGTACAAGAAGGAGCTTGCAGGAGGCAGTATGGGTGGAGGTGGCCTTCAATTCCCTGCTAACCTTCGAGGCTTGCCTGTGCTTTTCCTTGCCTTGATCAAAAACTTAGGCCTCAGGAGATCGTCACAAATTCCCAGCGACATGCGGTCAGCAGCTCTATGTTTGCTCTCGACGCTACCTCTCCCGTTGCTGATTCAGTACATCTATCCCAAGATGTTTTCTCTGCATGATATGCCAGATGATGCAGGGACGGTGGATGAGAAGACCGGCGAAATCATCCTTCCACCACCGATCAATCTCGTGTCAGAAAGGCTCGTGCCGTATGGATTGTATCTGATCGATGACGGACAGACCCAATTCCTTTGGGTTGGACGGGATGCTGTTCAACAGCTCATGATTGACGTCTTTGGACTGGCAGACAAGAGTCAACTCAAAGTGGGCAAGCAACGACTACCCGAGCTGGACAACGATTTTAGTGAGCGAGTGAGGGCAGTCGTCTCCAAGAGCCGTGACCACCTATCCAAGGGGGTGGGCAGCATTGTGGTGCCTCATCTCTACGTGGTGAAAGAGGATGGCGAACCAGGTTTGAGGCTTTGGGCGCAAACCATGCTTGTCGAGGATCGAGCAGATCAAGGAGTGAGCTTACAGCAGTGGATGGGGATGATGCGCGAAAAGGTACAGTCATGATCGAATGTTTCACTTTTGGTGGGTGTGGATTGCTAATTCGATTGAATGCAGGTCATGCAATAAACACCACACCCTGAAGAAAGACACGAGGTCGGGCCTCTGATGAGAGCCGAGCAGGAAAGAGGATGCTTTCTGACTACTATGGAAGAGATACAAGGAGAGGTCAAATGATGCACGCCAGCCATACTTGTTGCACGCATGTACACAATAAACTTGGGCTAGATGAGAAGGGTCGTCCCGCTTTGACCTATCGGGTAGTCAGTGACCATGGTGATGGATGAGACCACAAGAGCCCTGGGGCTATTTCTAGCTTTGGAGCAGCTCATGGTCTACGGCAACAAGAAAAGATGAAACGCTGATCCGACATGCTCAAACAAGGCAAATGGGTGGGTAGAGACTGTCACAGGAGGGCCGAGCCTATTCGGGCCATGGATGGATGGGGTTAAGCCGGCCGCTGAAGGGGCCGCTGAGGGCCGCTTGGGCCTAGTGCGCCCGCTCTATTCTGCCTTAGCTCCGCCTAGTGAGCCAATGCCGGCGCCTATTCATCCAAACGTCCTTCAATTCGACCGCGGCGTGAATGGGGATTCGGTCCTGAAATGTGAATGCCAGCTGCTTCACCCTCCCCTCAATGTGATACTCACCTTTTGATCACCTTTGCGGCACCATCTCATTGCAGACATCTCTTGTTCTCATTCTTCTTTGTTCCTCGTTTCGTCAAATCCCCTCATTGTTGAGCCTTTGTTGCACTGTCCGATTGCAACGTGGTCGCTGCGCAAACCCCTAATCTACACAACCCCGTGCCCGTTAACAACTCTGAGCAAGACTCTCAGGTAACCCACAGGTTTTTACCGCCCTGAAGATTGCAGATAAGGCTTGAACCTCGCAGGCGAGAAGCCAGACCAGGAAACAAATCTGTACGCCGCCTTCGCTCTGTTTGTTGTCGCATACTGTAAGGAATGTGGAATCTGACCCTGCCGCAGCACACAGCACACTCCACAACCCTCTCCTCCGTGGCCGCGCCGTCCATCCATCCTGCTGGGGCATCTTTACTTGCCAGCATCGACATCTTACCACCTGGAGCGCGCTGAATTGCCTCGCCTCAAGTACGGAGTTCGCGTCCAGACGACCCAGCGTCCACTGTGAAACAGCGCAGACAAGCGGAGCCGACCTGAACTAGGGCCCGCGCCCAAGCGAACTACCCTCACTACCATCTCCGACCTACAAAGCCGCGACCTCACGCTCACCTTCCTCCGAATTGAAGCAATAAAGCGAGAGCTACCCGTGATCGAAAGCACAACTGTTGGTCTTACTTTGGATACCCCAGCCGGCTTCAGAGGCAGGGATACGTGCTCGGTTGATTACCAGGAGATCTACCAAGGACCTGTTGTGACTTGTCGGAAACATGGGACAACCACAGCAACAAGCGGCGCCATCGGGAGGGTCCAGAAAGATCTCGTTCAACGTCTCTGACCAGTACGATATCCAAGATGTTATTGGGGAGGGGGCTTATGGCGTCGTCTGGTACGTGTATGATATGGGATCTGTGGACGCTGCAACTGACTCGTCAAAGTTCTGCACTGCACAAGCCGTCAGGTCAGAAAGTGGCCATCAAGAAGATCACTCCATTTGATCACTCTATGTTCTGCCTGCGCACGTTACGAGAAATGAAGCTGCTGCGATACTTCAACCACGAGAACATCATCTCGATTCTTGACATTCAAAAGCCACGAAATTATGAGTCTTTCTCCGAGGTCTATCTCATTCAGGTTGGTCTCGGAATAACAGGAGAAGCGAGCAAGAGTATTGACACTCTTTCACAGGAACTCATGGAAACGGACATGCATCGCGTGATTAGAACCCAAGATCTCTCGGACGACCACTGCCAGTATTTCATCTATCAGACTCTGCGCGCTCTCAAGGCCATGCACTCTGCGAACGTCCTTCATCGAGACCTGAAACCATCTAATCTCTTGCTCAATGCTAATTGCGATCTCAAAGTCTGCGACTTCGGCCTCGCGAGATCTGCAGCTTCAACGGACGACAACTCAGGATTCATGACGGAATATGTTGCGACAAGATGGTATCGTGCTCCAGAAATCATGCTCACGTTCAAGGAATACACCAAAGCCATTGATGTATGGAGTGTTGGCTGTATACTTGCAGAGATGTTAAGTGGCAAGCCCTTGTTCCCTGGAAAAGACTGTATGTATTACTCCTCTCGTGACGCTGGCCATGCTAACTACATTCCAGATCATCATCAACTCACCCTAATATTGGATGTCCTTGGTACTCCGACGATGGAGGATTACTACGGCATCAAGTCCCGACGTGCGCGAGAATACATCCGGTCATTGCCCTTCAAGAAGAAGATTCCCTTGAAAGCACTCTTCCCCAAGACTTCGGACCTGGCACTGGATTTGTTGGAGAGGCTGCTAGCATTCAACCCAGTCAAGCGCATCACGGTTGAAGAAGCCCTCAAGCACCCGTACTTGGAGCCTTATCATGACCCTGACGATGAGCCCACTGCGGATCCTATTCCAGAAGAGTTCTTTGACTTTGATAGGAATAAGGACCAGCTCAGCAAGGAGGAATTGAAGGCGTTGATTTGGAATGAGATCATGCGATAGACTTGTCGAGGCCGAACTTGCTCTGTGCCACCCACTTGCGACAACGAAAGGATCAGCACTGCAGATTCATATTTTTCGGGCTGTGTGAAAGATGACTGTCAGGCGATGAAGGAAGATGCCAATAGAGCCAAGGACCGAAGTGAGAATCTAGACATAATGTCATGGTAGGTCCTGGCTTCTCTGGAACGACAGGAAAATATGTCCAGAAAGGTCACAACAATCGTCAACATTGTGCTTGGATGAGAAAGCTGGAACATGAATGGCCCCGTCACGCATTGCATTCGCATGTTTGTTACGGTTGAACGGAGTTGCATGAATTGAAGTGGACGGATAGAGATCAGATCAATGCAGAATCCAGCCCCCAATTCCTTTCCACAAACTGTCTCCGTTCTTACCTTTTACGCGCGATGTGGGTGGTTTGTGTAGAGACAAGACCTCGCCGTTTGGAGTGTAGAGACTACTCTGTACAGCTACACAGTCAGGGAACCTCTTTTTCTCTTCGTGATAACTAGTAACAGGGCTCTCACTGCTAAAAGTAATAGTCGGTAGGTGACAGTCCTGCACATGTCAAAAATGCTTGATTAAAGAGTACCTCTTGCTAGCACAGTATCTCGTAGAGGGAACCAATTAAGGGGGCTGGGGGGTCACTGGGTCCCTAGGGTGCGATAACGACGGCCCCAAACCGACCCCTCAACCCCAAATCTTGGGGAGAGATATATTTTCTCATCTTCAAAATACTGCAAAATTTTACCGATTTTCTCTCCCTGAGAAAAAAATCTTGTTACAATGATTGTCAGTGTGGCCGAGTGGTCTAAGGCGTGTGACTTGAATTTAACCGGAACGTCCAACACTCCTCCAGGGGATAAGCACCCGTGGAGGGCGAACGTTTTCCCAAAACTTCAATGGCTATCACATCTCTTCGGAGGCACAGGTTCGAACCCTGTCGCTGACGTTCAGTTCTCTTTTTTATTTTTTTCTTTCCCCCTCTTCTCCTCACGGAGGGATAGAGTTCCTTAAGTGCCTGGTGCTTGCTTACTTATCTACGTGGGTACTTAGCCTCGCTTTTTCACCAGGGGGGTGTTTCAGGGAAGACGCTCCTGGATATTATGTACATTACATACATACGGAACATTTGGTACGGGGACTACAAGGCTGCTGGACAGGAGAGGGCTGGGCTGAGTCTACAACAGCATACTCTTAAAACCCGTAAAAGATGCGCACCTTTTATCTCTGGGCTTGCGAGGACCTTCAACGACTCCATCTGGTCTAATGCGTCATATGGAACAAGAGGCATGAAGGATGGTGGGCTCATGTGTGCCCTCAAGACATGTTCCTATTTTCGAACCTTCACTTTCTAACTGTGTATGTACAATCTCTCGGGCGTCGAGAAGGTCCAGTGGTCTTCTCCAAGCTCTTCAACTACAAGCCCTCAGCCAACCCACGCTGACATCTCCTCACCACCTACTGATCATCAATAACGTGCAGATACTTCTTTGCCTCCTTCTTCTCCCGGGCTGTTGCTGGAGGCAAATCATAGTAGGAGCTGCTCCGGTAGTCTTGCAGATATAGGTAGGTCAAGTCTCTCAACTCTGCCGGCTCGATTCCCAGATCTTTGAAGGTCTTTGCTCCCTTTTCGACGGTCTGATCCAGTGACTCTTGTTCCAGCTGATCCGCCGTCATGATTGGCCACCAAATGACCTTGTTGAGGTAGTAAAGGATGGGTTTGAGGAGAGCTTTGGGCACGTCAATGTGGCGGCGCTCTTTAAGAATTTCCCTGTCGACAATTTCGGCGATTTCGCGCATGCTGTAGTTTGTGGGGCCGTAGAGTTCAAAAGTCTCGCCCGCCGTGGTGTCATCGTAGCCAATCTTTTCCAAAGCCATTCCGACGTCGATAGCCTAGCAATACAGAGTCAGAGGTGCGGGAGAATGGGCGGACACAAAGGTAGACTCACATGAACCGGGTTGAAACGTTCCTGCATGTTGTTCACGGTAATCAAGTTGGTAACGCCAGCAAGGCGATGTAGAAGGGTATCTTCAAAACCGAAGCAGGGTGCCGGTCGAACAATCGTGGTCTCAGGGAAGAGCTGTCTTGCAACTTTCTCTCCCATGGCCTGTAAGACGTGTTAGTTACCACCAGTCTCGCCATTCTGGCAAAGTCCTGACCTTTGTCCTGAAGAACTCGGAGGGCGAGTCAATGTCGGCATTGTACGACGAGAGATGAATGAACCGGTCAACGTCGTATTTTGCAACGGCTTCAGCTATTCTTTCCACACCCTCGACATTGACATCCCACAGACTGAAGTTTTTGGTCGGGTAATTCTTGCCAATCAGGTTGAACACAATATCGGAGTGTCGCACACTCTCTTCGATCGACTGCGTGTTTCTCAGGTCGAATTCCATAAATGAAACTCTCCCCAGATCACCAGTGGGCTTCAAATGTCTCTTCCCCATGTCATCTCTGTACGGCACGACAACTTGGCACCCTCTCTTTGCTAGTCGCTGGACGATGTATCTCCCAAGGAACCCATTTGCACCGAACACAGTAACTGTATAGCCCCCTAACGAAGATCTTCCTCCAGCTTGTTTTATGATCGGTTTCCCCGTCCTTGTGATGGCGATGTCTTGGTTGTACCCGCGTTGGAAGGATTTCGGTTTCAATGACGACCGAGCTGCGCGCAGCGCGAGGGTGGTAGGTTGACAGGTGTGCATCTTGCAATGCAGCACCCGACAGAGGCCTTCGCAGGCAATCGTACGTCGGTGTGAGTTGGGGTCAGAGGAGGTGACGAGTTGTGACCTGCGAGGAGCTCAATGCCTGTCGACCTCCAACAGCTCCGCTGCGTCAAGTGTCTGTTCGCTTGGCAGCTTTGATGAGATGCAGTGAGGATCCACCACGGAATCACGTGTCAGTCCGCCCAAAATGATGCTCAGCACTGTGCCAAGACTGTAATGACCAAAATCTTATCGCTCATTGGCCGACCTGTAAAGCCACACAAGGCCTCCTCAGAGGCAAGGCAGTCTGGATGTGCATGTTTGGACTCGGAAATTATTCCTGTGACAAAGTGATCCGTATCACCTCATTATAGAGATCCAACACCAGGGACACTCTGCAATGGAGCATATTTCGCAAAGTCGAGCGAAAACGACCTAGGTGGGGTCTGTCCAAGAACCATTTCGGGGTCAAGACCCGCTCGCAAACTCGAGTGGAAATGGCTTAGCGTCGAATTGTTGGATACAGACAAGATGTGATCGTCCTCTTTTGCTTGCTGCCTTGAGGTTCTATGGTAATGAATTATGTTACTCATCCTCCTAGCCCGGTACGTAGCATTCAGTTCTCCATTCTCGTTCGCTCATCTCGGATTCCTCCAACAAACAAAGTTTACGAGGCTGTCTGTCGGCTGTCATGTATCCCTGTCATGGAGGAAAAGGGCATTCGCGAATACGGGCGATTGCTGCTGCCTTCAAGTACCCAGACCTTCTATTTTGAGACTGACTTGCGAGAAACCGTGAATAATACATTTCTTGGGTGATGTTGTTCGTCTATAAAAGTCATGTCAATGCCACCGACCGAGGATGTCTGGTGGCTCATCACAAACACACGAGTTAGGGACATAGATTCCCTGCGAGCATCATTCGTCCTGGCGCACTATATCCTGCCTCCGTTTTTCCCTCGCCCATCACAGCTTGTTGATCGGGATCCCCATTCAAAATGTCAATGCCTCATGATGTGCACAAATCCTCAGGGCACAGTCGTGGCGCCAAACCAGGTCCGCTCTGGCTCAAGCTCAGGCGGCGCATATACCACCCACTCGGCTTCAAGAAGGGCTATAATTTTATACTCTTCGTCATACTCGTCGGGGCCCTCATGGGGTTCGTACTCGCTCGGTTCCAATACCTGAACGTTGACGGCATCTTCTTGAAGGTATACTCTTGCCTGAACCGAAAGGGGATTCCACGGAGAGGTCGTACTAACAACGGTGGTACGTAGAATACAATCCCTGGAGACGCCATTCACTATCAGTCAGGGTACAAGCGCGTTGGAATCATCCTTCATCTGGGCTGCATCCTTCCAGCAGGCTTCTTGGTCTGCTTCCAGTTCGTACCAGTGATCAGGCACAAACTCCTGCTCTTCCACAGATTGAATGGCTACACTGTTATTCTCTTGTTGCTGACCGGCAACGCGGGCGCATTCATGGTCACTCCCATCGCTGGAGGAGGATCACCATCTACTCAAGCCGGAATTGGCCTCCTGGGAACAATGACCACGGTCTCAGTGATGCTGGCATACGTCAATATCAAACGTCTGCAGATCGACCAACACCGTGCATGGATGATTCGTACCTGGGTGTATGCGGGTAGCATCATCTCGGTGCGTCTGGTTCAGATGGCCGCCAACACGTTCATCGCGCAGCATCAACAGGGCCATTGGTATGATGTGCAGACCTGTGGGGACATATGGAAGCAATATACCCTGTATGGAGCCCCTGCTGGAGCGGGAAATCCAACACCATACCTATACCCCGAGTGCACGGCGCCGAACTCAAGCGTACCAGTGGTCATCAAGGCAAATGTGGACGGTGCCGGCCCCGAGTTTGCTACAGCTTCGTTCCACCTGACGTTTGGCATGTCGGTGTGGATTTGTCTGGCGACCCACGCCATCGGTGTCGAGACATATCTGAAGCTGACACCTGCGGAGAGTGAGAGGCTAAGGCTTGTCAGTCACGAGAGGCAGGTGGAGGCTGGGGTCAAGCACCCTGGTCGTGCAGGCTTGACTGTGGACAGGTTTGGTGATGTTGTGTCCCGGGATCCCACCGATCGAGCCAAAGGCAGCCAGAGCTCGAACGAGTGAGAGGAAGATATTGCGCAAGTAGGTGAGTGAGAGGGCCGCAGTTGTTTGGGGGTCTGAGCATCGCGCATTGGTTCTATTGCCCATGCTGAGAAGTCTCAACAACGCACGAGACTGGCAGCCTTTGAAGGAAATTTATGAGGACGGAGAAGTGTTTGCAGTGAGTGGTGCATGTATCGACGAGGACAGCTGTGTTGGACGCAGGGGTCAGAGGTGCATGGCGAACACGTTCATTTCATCGTTCTCACAACAACTTTCCTATATAGTTTCTCTAGCTCTCAATCGAAATATCGTATCTCAGTCGGTCACGACATGCCTCACTCTGGAAAGTCCACTCAGCCTCTTCGTATGAGGTCATTTGTACAAGGAAAGAGGCCGAGGACACGACAAAGTGATGGGATCCGACCAACTCGTATTCGGAATTGAACCCATGAAATCAGGCCCCCAAGATTTTGAACTTGGCGAGTCAGCGATTCATGCGTCCAGAACTAATTATCCTGACATTCTGACTGGACTGGGACTGGAATCAACCTCGTGCTAGATCCAAAGCACGGAGTCTCTTTACCGACAAGTTCCTTGGCCTCGTTCACCTCTGTCTGCCGCCCCTCGTCAACGACCATTATGCCTTGCCTCGTCACGAGAGCCTCGCCTGGTTCCGTATCTCTGTACAGGATCCAAGGTGAAGGCAGTATCCTCGGAGTCGCCGAGTATCTCCCTTCAAGATGGTCTACGCAGGCCCATCCCGTGGCTGCAGCACCTGCAAACGACGCCGCGTCAAATGTGACCTGGGTCGGCCTCTTTGCAAAAACTGCTTGAAGAGGAGGGTGCCCTGTCCAGGTGTGCCAGATCCACCTGGCATACAGTTTCGAGACGAAACCGCGGCGGTGATACAGCTATTCCAGGCAGCCGGCGACAGAGAACATGCTGCTGATGGCGATGACGACTATGAATACCCCAATGCGGTTGTCCCCGGTCTCGGGGAGGACGAGAACTTTGTCTCGTTGTGCTTCTTCTCCCACAACTACATGATGGGTGGGCACGGCGTGCAGTCTTCGCGGGGGTTGTTCGAGCATTTGATCCCGTACTATCAGCCGACGGATCCGGATTCTCTGATATCGGTCGCCACTGCCGCTCTTACGGCCACCATGCTCTCCATGTGGCGCGGCCTTGGACCGGATTCGACGCTGTCGAGGAGGTACTATGGCCGCGCTATCGACCTCCTGAAGGAAACCCTGAAGACTCCAGAAGGATGCGAGTCCGATACGACGTTGATCGCCATCATTGCGCTGCAGTTCCGGGAAGCGCTGATTGCGCACCGCAAGATGGTCAAAGTCGACGGGAGTCACCAAAGAGGCGCATATGCCGTGGTCAATTACAGAAAGAGCAGAGGCTTCCGCGACATGGCCTCCAAGCGGCTGTTGCAAGAGGTGCGCAACACGATGGTGTCAGAGGCAATTCGGACTCGCCAACCAGTGCATATCGACCCGGCGGTGTGGGAAGACGACGGCCCCATGCCCTACAACCCGGCAAGTGATCTCGACAGGATCGCGATTGACCTCGCGAACCTGCAAGCCCTGTTCGAGCAATATAAATCCACGTTGCCGGCTAGTTTGGGAAAGGGGCAGAAGGTGCTGACTGCAAAGGACCTCAGCATAATAGCGTCATTCAGGAGGACGGCGGATGCCATTGACCAGCGACTACAGATCTGGGCCGACAGCCAACACTCGTTCTACTCACCCTTCCGGCTGGCGGCAGATGAGATTCCAGACTCCGTGCGAGAGGCAGGCCTGTATGGCGACTTCTGCAACGTCTATCCGTCTGTCCAGCTCGCGGGCGTCTGGCACGCATACAACAGCTACCGGCTGATCCTCCTGAAGATGACGCTCTGCGCGGACGAAACGGTCCGTAACATGCCGAGGGAGAACGACGTGTTGCTGTTGGAATCTGACAGATGGAGGGTCTCCGCCGAGGAGCGGCTTCAGCACTGCGTCGACGAGATCTGCGCCGCTGTGCCATTCCATCTCGGCAACCGCATCGACGCCGGCTCCATCCACGAGTTTTCGAACACCACCCGCATGGAGTACCCCTGGCCGACGCCGGACAGAGACCCCTACTCGAATCCGTGCAGTCCAGCCCTGAGGCAGTACGCGCGCGAACACAACGTCGTGCCCCTGACGGCCGACGAGCGGAAGCGCCAGAACCTCTGCATGGGGGGCTACAACATCCTCGGACCCATGGCGTTTGTCCTGAGCCTCGCTGGGGAGCCGCTTGACTTGACCGGTGTGCAAAGAGATCCGCGCAGGATTGGATCAATGCTTCGCCCGGATCAGATCCCGTGGCTCGCTGGGCAGATGGGTCGGGCTTTGAGACTTCATCGCGCGAGACCACCACCGCCACCACCACCAAAACAAGTAGGTCGAGGCGATGATCTACGTGAAAGCAGCAGCAGCAGCAGTAGCAGCAAGAGTGGCACCCCTGTGTCGATTAGAAGGAAGCCCACCGCCGCAGTGGAGAAGAATCAGCTCGGCGATGTGGCGAAGGATGTCGTCCGGGTGCGAAAATCCATGAAGTATTCCTTTGGTGTTTGATACCGCCGTACACTAGTATGTGTGTATGTATGATTGTGTTGTGCGTGCCTGCCATTCAGTTTGTCTGCGGCGAAGGGGGAGTTCTCACAACTACTCGTCGTGGTCAAAGGCAGTGTCGTGTGTCTACGAGGGGGATCTACCACATTACATGATTATATAGCCTATGAACGAAGCACATATAGTTTCACGAGGAACTATATTTCGATGTCACGGTGTAATGAGCCGATGGCTATTGAAATGTCACTCCACGCCGTGGCCTTGATTTGATGGCTTGCCACTCTTCAGATACGGAGGACAGACGGGTTGAAGTAAGAGGTGGTCAACAAAGGTGATCAGCTTCCGAGTGGAAACTTCTCTCTACATTGTCTACCCGCTCTTCTTCTCAAGCTGTCCGGATTTCCTTGCCTCTGGCCACACATTTCAAATCCCTCCTCCCCCCCCGATGGGTCGCAGCTCAATCCTTCTGGCTATTCTTCTTATGTCTCCTCAACCCGAAGATCTGCGCAATATCGGTCCAGAAGCCAACGACCTCGCCTTGGAAGGCTTCCTCGTACACGTCGATAACCCTACTTTCCCAGACCAGATCGACTTCCTCGGGCCCGAGGATCTTGGTACCCTTGAAGAGTTTCCAGCCGACGTAGAGGATCGGGGCGACGAGCTGCATGGTGTAGTTTTGAAAAAACCCGGCGACCGTCGGGGGAGAAAAGGCCGTGTACCCGTAGAACAAAAGGACAGTGACCATGGCGAAAACGCCAATCCAGGCACAGTAGGGCTGGAACCAGCCGCGATACGGCAGGGTTCTACGGTCGAGACCCTGGACCTTGCAGGCGCGGTGGTAGCAGAGGAAAGTGATGCACATGACGAGATAGTCGATCAGGGCTCCCGCGGTGATCAGGGCGATCAGCCAGGTCATGACGATCGCGGAGCTGTTGGATGTTTGCAGAAAGGAGAGGAAAGGGAAGCACATGGTGACGGCGAGTGCGTAGATGGGGACGCCCGATTTGGTGGTCCGGCGCAGGATCGCAGGCGCACGTCCTTCCAGGGCCAGACCGTAGAGAGAGCGCGCCCCGCAGTAGGTGAGGGTGTTCCCGGCCGAGAAGATGGAGGTCAAGATCAGCGCCGTGACGATGTGAGGCAGGACGCCGATGCCCATGTTCGTCATGGCGATAACGTACGGCGACGCCGCGGCGCCGGACTACAGGCTCGTCCCGGCGAGGATGGCCTGCAGGGTCGGGTCGTTCCACGGAACCACGATCCCGACACAGAGCGCGCCGAGAACGAAGAAGCAGAAGTAGCGCCAGTAGATGGTCTTGAAGGCGTTCTTGACGATGATGCGCGGTCGCTTCGCCTCCGCCGCCGCCATCGACACGTACTCGGGCCCGACAATCGTAAAGGACGCGGACCACAGACAGGTGAGGAAGCCCTCGAAGCGGCCCAACGCGCCGGTCGTGCGATGCTCGGCAAAGGCACCGGCGACATTCCAGCTGTGGAATCCGTACGCATTGCCTTGCGGGTTGCCGCCGACCATCTGGAAGAGGGGGCAGGGGAAACACGTCAATAACCGTATCGATCTAACCAGGGAAGAGACAGACTCCCGGTCCTCCTAATGCAGCTGGCCAAGTTCTCGGGGAACTTACGGTAATGAAGGTGAAGAAGAACATCATGAGAAGCAGGAGCACTTTGCCGCTACACAGCCAGAACTCGGCTTCTCCGTAGACCCGGACCGCCAGAATGTTGATAGCCCTACAGGTTTGAGGGGGAGAAGGGTTAGCAAGCGCATCACCTCGAGGCATTGGAGGGGAACTTTCTTGATAGGGATGCCACGAGCTGAGAATTTGGGTCCTTACATACCCATAGCAGACGATGCAGATGACACAAATTGCCGCAACCGGAATCTTGTCGGTCCAGAATTGTATCACCAGGCTGAGAGCGGTGATCTCAAAGGGGATCAGGAGCGCCTCGTAGATGAAAAAGTTCCACCCAACCATGAATCCTAGTGCGTCGTCGACCCATTTACCGGCGAGACGGATGAAACCTCCCGACACGGGATGTTGAACCGTCATTTCGGCGGTGCAGTTGTTGATGCAGATCAGGACCATCGTGTAGAGGAAATACGCGATCAACAAGCTCCCCGGACCGCCAGCGGCGAGGGCGTTGCCGATGCTGATGAAGATGGCGGTCCCAATGGTTCCTCCTATGGCCATCAACTGAAGTTGTCTGTTGCCCAGGCGGCGGTGTAAGTCGTCGGCATTTTCCAAGAGAATATCCCCTTGTTGGATGCCCGAAGTGGTACGATCCAGGACATTGACATCGACATCGACATCGACGACGCCTTCTCTTTTGAGCTGCTTTTCTTGCTCCAATGGCCTATATAGTTGGATTGGGGGGGGGGG